GATATGCATGTCACTTATCCCAGAGGCTTTGGGGTACTGTACAGTACATACACCATGGTGCATCATCAGGGGGTAAACTGTCACTTTTGGTTCTTGCGGCTGACTTGTGAACATCATCATCAAGGGGCCAACTGTCTCTTCCTGTGTCCTGCAGTCAGTAGGTGCGCATCATAAAGGGGTCGACCATTAATCCTCTGTTGCCTGAAGTCTTCTGGGATACGCATGTCACTTATCCCAGGAGGCTTTGGGGTACTGTACAGTACATGCACCATGGTGCATCATCAGGGGGCCAACTGTCACTTCCTGGTTCTTGCAGCTGCTTGTGAACATCATCATTGGGGGCTGACTGTCTCTTCCTGTGTCCTGCAGTCAGCAGGTGCGCATCATAAAGGGGTCTGGTTCTTGCAGTCACTTGCACATCAACTGTCACTTCCTGTTCTTGCAGCTTCATCATCATTGGGGGGCTGATGCAGTAGGTGCATCATAAAGGGGTCGGCCACTGCAGTCTCTTCCTGGTTCTTGCAGCTGGCATGTGCACATCATTGGGAGTACAGCGGCAGGAACCTGAAAGAGACAGTTGCTTCCCCATGCCGTCAGAGAAGAAGAAAGCTGTGCAGGGCCAGGTGTGCAGCAGCAGAGTGGTGGATCACTACTATGCTGGAGTAAGAGGGGGTAAAAAATATTGGAGGGAATGTTTCCCTTTAGACAGAGAGAACTCCATGGGGCTCTGCTGGCTGCACACTGGTCTAGTTTTTTGTAAATGAGATGTGCTGGGATTTGTAGCTCATCAGTGTATAATGGAGAGCAGATAGCCATATTTGCTTTCCATTATAAATTGAGCCCATTAGTATTTGTTGAAGCCTAGGGGGAGCAGTGATATCATCTCATCAAAGTAGTGCAAGGAGCCTATATGTGTGTCCAATGTGTCAAAGTCACATATTAGGGTTAAGGGTTAGGGTTATGTCAGCACCTGTGGTAGTGAGCCCTTGTAGATCATCAACTTGGGGTTCCCCAGGGTGTGAAGTCTAAGCCCCAGCCTGTTTCTTAACCAGTGCCCCTAATGGTGGGGATGGACTTGCAGCAATCTAGGACTGGGTCGCGGCCCCTGGGTACACCCAGCTGAGGATGAGGAGACCTCTCGCAGGAGCAGAGCACAATGGAAGGAGACAAACGGAAATCCGATAGACTAGCCGAGGTCAGCACAGACGGAAAACAAGCAAGGTCAGAGAATGAAGCCGGGGTCCGTACACAAGTAGTCAATACAGGCAATAGCAACACACAGGTTCTCAGACAACTAGGGTGTTTCTCAGGCAAAGTGGCCTAGTCTGAGCATGTCTTATCTAGACAGGCAAACAAGGAGGCCAGGAAGTGATGGAAGGGAAGGAAATAAAAACCCAGAGAACAGCAGACGTCGCCCATAGGTGAGCACAGACAAACACACATGTGAAGGGATCAGGAACAGCATTGCAACAAGGAGGTAAGAATACAAAAATAAGAAACTGCAGGCTAACTTGTGACAGGTTAGGGTTAAAGCCTAGGGTTAGGGTTAAATGTTAGGGTTAAATGTTAAGGTTAGGGGTAGGGTTAAAGCCTAGGGTTAGGGTTAAATGTTAGGGTCAAGGGCTAGGTTAAGGGTTAGGGGCTAGGGGTAGGGTTAAAGCCTAGGGTTAAGGTTAAATTTTAGGGTTAAAGCCTAGGGTTAGGGTTAAATATTAGTGTTAAGGGATAGGGTCAAGAGTTAGGGTTACTGCTAACCATAAATACTGCAAACCCTATTGTTTCCCGCTAACCCTAGCCCTTAAACCTAACATTTAACCCTTGCCTAGCCTTTAACCCTAACATGCGACTTTGGACACATAAAGGTTCCTGCACTACTTTGATGCTACTTGAGGGCCAGAGAGTGTAAAGCCACATCAAAGTCCCACTACATGAACAAAACTGTACTACTTTCCTATTGGTGAGAAAAAAAAAGCATAAAAAACACGCGTTCAAAAATGCACCGCAAACTGCGCCAGAAAGCATATTAACAGATTAGCACATTCATAGATGTGAACCTAGCCTTTGACACCCAGGTAAAAGTCACAGATGCAACAGTGCTAACATGTTTCAGCCACAAATGGCCTTACTCATAGCAGGATTACTACGGGCAGGGGCGGACTGACCATTTGGAAACTCGGGCACTGCCCGGGGTCAGTAGGGGGCCCCATGAGATGCCCCTGGTACCTTTTTCATAGGCTTTTTTGAGTTTGGGCAAGGACACAGGGGCCCCATGATCCCCTATTGCCCGGGGGCCCCATGAGTTGTCAGTCCGCCCCTGACTACGGGTAATGCCATTTGTGTCAGGGACATGTCAGCCCTGTTTCCTCTGTGACTTTTACCCAAATGTCTTTACTTTTTGGTTGGATTCATAGGGCATGCGGGAGCCCTTGCTGCAGCACCATCTACTTACTGCATGCACACAGATATCGGGTGCGGCCAGGTTGAGCACAATGAGTTCTTTTTTTTGTGGATCAGATTGCTGAACGGCCTGTGTTCATTAGTGACAATTACCGGGAGGAGGAAGTTATAAAGCGTGATGCAATAACTATCCCTTTTTATTTTGTTGACATAAAGGAGATAGCACTCTGCCTGTCATGATAATCAGCTGCTAATTCACAGCATTATGTAGCGTTTTGGGTGTGGTGCAAATTCATAATTTAAAGGAATGCCATCATTTTTTCCGCTAACTGCAATTACTTAGCAAATCTACCAGTAAACAGTAATAACCTGCTCAGTGCTTCAGTTTTTCAGCCAGGCATTGCTGTTGTGCATCAGTACACCTCACTGCCTTTTATCTGTAATCGCTGATTTTGAACTCCTTTCTTTATGATGCAGGAATAGAATTTTCAAACACCCTTACTGTAGGCTATTTACTGCCTCTGACTTATGATATACTTATGGCCTGATGTACCAAGCTGTCCATTATAAAGTTGGCCATAAACTAGTAGATTGCTGTTTATGAATGCATGTACAGAAAAAATCTTGCCAGTACGTTCGATAATCAGATAAAAAGTAGAATTATAGGCAAAACTTTTTTTTTTTCAGGGATGGTTATACCCTGTCAGTTTTTTTTTGCCATCTGTGTCCCATTGGGGACATTTCCCTTCACTTCTTGTGCTGTAGCCAAATCAGGAAGTGAGAACATTTCTGAAAATTAAGGGAATTCCTTAGGGACCCGCAGGTCACCAGAACTAGTGTCCCCATTGGAAAAGTCTCCCTCTATTACTTTTCTGGGGACAACCCAAAGTTTGAGATTTCTTTTACATTCACTGTCAGTGATAATGGTAACCAGGACAAATAAAGAAGGTGAAGCCCCTCTCCACTTTATAAAAATGTGTTTGCTTTTAAAGTGATAGTAAAAAAAAAAAGAAGCTTCTGGGCCCCCTGTAATGTGATGGCATAATGTGCTAGTATGCATAGATGGGCTGATAGGGCTTCCATTTTCACCTGATCTCCCCTCCGGGTTCGTGGGCTCCAGCCATTTGAATGGCCAAGCCACAATGACATCACTCTCACACATGTACATGGGAACCATGATTGAGGCACAACACTCTCAATGAACGGCATACTCAAGTATGCTATCTATTGAGAGAGGGCAGTGCGCATGCGCTGGTGACGCCACCAACTGCTACTCATTGGAACATCCCCTAAACGGTGCTGAACTGAAAGAGTAGTTGATGTTTGGAATAAACTTCCAGCAGAGATAGTGAGCCTGTCAACAGTAAATAGCTACAAACATGCTCTTTTTTCAGTTGTTGATTTCCCTATCTGAGGAGGGCAGCATCTCCGAAAGGCTATCCATAGGCGATTTTGGTCCTGGTTCCCTTGGTTTTCCTTTGGCATTTGATCCCTGGAGAGCTGGAGAGTTTATTCTGTTATCATGCTTGGGACAAGCATAGATCTATACTCAGACAAAAAAGTTAAAGAAAAAAAAATTTAAAAACCACAAAAAACAAGACCCACCCACACACATACAAAAAAGGAGGGGAAGATTCAATGGACCACGCCGTCTTTTTCTGTTGTCCCTTTTCTATGTTTCTATGTACTAGTGGAAGGAACTCGGGGAGTGCTAAAAGTCCACAGGTTTGGGGATGCAAATTACTTGCCTTGCCCCAGGAACTGAGAACCCATGCAACCCAGTGTAACTGTCAGTTGAGAGATTTCAGGGGAAGTTGGAGTTGGACAGATTGGAATCCTGTGGTTTTTCTCCCAGATAAGCTGCCACCAGAGGTTCCGCTGTGTCACCCCCATTGTTTCATCCATAGACCTCAACCTGAACACCATTATCGGCTACGTAGCTGTGGTGAACGCATTCTGAGCCGGTCATACCATGGGCCTAAATAGGCGAGTGTGTCAAAATGACATGAAGCGTGTGCAGTTTAGTAACCTGAAAAGAGCGGAACCAGAGGCTATAAGAGTAATGCGTTTTATTAAAAATTAACTTTCTAAACTCCTCGTCTCGTAATACCCACAAGATAAATCGTTCCTCTGGTAAATGATTTTCAGGAAAAAGCACATTCCTTCCCTCAATTACTAAATGTAATGTGAATTTGGATATGGAAACACAGAGGTTGGAGTGAGGATTGTGTTACGTTGTATTAGAATTGTAGACTTGCCCAGATCCCGGCTCATCTCTATCATCCTTGTTTAGTGTAAATAGACATCATGCCTACAGTCAGCTGTCCACTGGCAATGCTAGATTGTGCCTTAAAGCAGTCATAAATCCCAAATTAAAATTGTCATGTATCGCAGTTTACAAATTCTTAGATGTGGTGACTGGATTAGTTTTCTTTTCTTAGGCTTTTTTTTCTCTGTTTTCATCTGGTGATCTGGCAAGTAACACACCTCCTAAATTGGAGTACCTCCACTCTGGATGAAGGAGCACAGGAGCTACTTTGGACAGCAGCATTGTCAGACTGGGGGAAGGTAGTGTTTGTTGGAGTAGCAGATTTAAAGTGTTACTAAACCCGCAACAGTAAAATCAGTCTGTATATGCAGTAAAGCATGCTTGTTATACTCACTGTGGAGCCTAAGGGATTCATCCTCTGCATTGTGTAAAAAGAATGTTTGATCCTGACTTCTTTGAGCCTCCCCTTCTACTGTCTCTAAGCCATCTGCTGATAGTGCAGAGCTCTAGGAGTCACTCTCTAAATGATCGTCTCTTTTCTCCTGTTGGTCTGAGGATCCCAGTCATCTACCGTATGCTGAGATCACAGGCATCAGGCACAGCAGGATAGCTTCATGGTCATAAACCCCAATTAGCCTGGGCCCAGTATGTCTGTGAGACTGTTGCTTGGAGGTGATCGTAAAGCTATAAACCAGTTTTTCACTGGGCATGAAACACATTCCAGAATAGCCGTAAAACAGACATCACATTTAAAACTGTGGAACCTAAAGGGTTAATCCTCTGCATTATGTAAAAAGGATGTTTGATCCTGACTTCACTGATCCTCCCCCTCCATACTGTCCCCAAACTATCTCCTGATAAAACAGAGTCTTGAGGACAACCTGCACGTGCTCAGTTTGGTGCATATTGCTAGAAAGTTTTTTTTGTTTTTTTTTTTTCTTGGGAGGGTGCATACATGTTGTCAGCACAGGGCCAATCAGCACTGTTCAGACAGAGGGTTAAGGGTCCTGCAGCCTCATAGGGGAGAATGAAAACTCCTACAAGCTCTGCTGGACACTGATAGAAGTCACAAGACTGCTCTGACTGCTGATGAGAAAAGGTATTTAGCAGTTTATATTTACTAAAATAGTTGAACTTCCATGTTCTGTGTGCTGTGGGAGACCAGATATAGTGAATGCAGGGTCCTGAGCAACACAAATACACTAACAAATTAAAGCCAAACTCCAGCTTTATAAGCAATTCTAGCCATAATTTGTTTTTCTTTTTGGGGATAAATGTTTTACATAAATAAATAGAAGCTGATCATTGTGAGCACCCCTGTCAGTGATAAATGGTTTGTCTCATCCATATTTATTTTATGTATTTATTACATACAGTACTTGCATAGTTAGTCTGGCTGAAAAAAGACAAAAATTCATCCAGTTCAACCATTAAAAAATAAAAAAAAGTTATAATCCTACACCCACAGTTGATCCAGAGGAAGGCACAAAAAACAGTGAGGAAAGCTCTGAGAGCTGATTGGAGGAAAGGGGCAAACCCCTTCCACACAGTAACAGAGCTGAGGCTGTCATTCACAGACTGTGTGCCGGAGCTGCCTCCCCTGTCACCTTTTTTCTCTTGGTGTCAGGAAAACTTGTCAGAAGTGATTTATGCTGATAGCAGAGGAGCAAAGCAGCAGACAGAAATGGCATTTACTGCTCTTATTTGAGACAATTACACACTGTTGAGGGATATGCCTTGTTCTTTTTTTTTTATGTCTGAGGTTTTCAACCACTTTAAAGTAGAACTAAAAGCAAAACCTTTTTAAAAATTTTGGACAGAGTAGGACAGGAATTATGTTTTTTTATTGCAGTCTGTCTCCCTTTGAGGAGATTCACCCTCTCTATGTGTCCTGTTTACCATTATCATAGAAAGTGAAAGTAAAAAATAAATCACACATTTTGGATTGTCCCCCCAAAAAAAGCAATAGAGGGGAAATGTAGCAATGGGGACACTAGTTCTGGTGACCTAGGGTCCTGAAGGCATTCCCTTGATTTGCAGGGATTTCTACTCACTTCCTGTTTGGCCATGGGACAGGAAGTGAAAGGAAATCTCCCCAATGGGACACAGATGGTGAAAAAAAAATCTGATTGGTTATTAACCCTCCCTTGCTCTATCCAAATTTAAAAAAAAAAAAAGTTTTGTATGTAGCTTTTTACCTTAAGTTTTATTTTACTTACTCTGTTCCCACTCAGAAAAGCATACACATACTCAAGAAATGTCCTACTTAAAACACATAAAAATGACACCTATTATGGGCCTTATTGGCCATGTGTTGAAGCAGAGGATCTGTCAGTCAGAACTGTAATCCTTCTTAATTAGAGATCACATGACAAAGTGCCTAGGTCCACACTGAATGGAACATAAAGCAGCATATTCCCCAGTAAAGGTAAGTATTTCATACTGTTTGTACTGTTTTATTCATAGTAATGCGGTTAAGATAGCTTTTTGTTAACATTTAAGAAGTCTGCTTTAAATTGGAGCCATAAAGAATCACATTTTTCAGTTCTGAATCTTTCTGCTGAATGTAAAATCCTTTTTTTTTTATTATGTTAGAGCTTCAAATGGCGGTGCAATGTGTGACCAAAGTGGAGCTGAGCATTTCCTGCGACAACCTTCTAGATAAGGATATTAGTTCCAAATCTGATCCTTTGTGTGTTCTCCAAATGAACACCAGTGGCCAGCAATGGTTTGAGGTATATAAATCTATTTCTATGATTTATCTTTTGATTTGATAAATTGTTCAGTCAAATGTACAAGATTAATTTGGTACACAATGAAATGATTGCTAATAAGTGTGAAAAGTTCTGTAATGTGCCTGAAGTTGTATAATATTAGAAATTGTATAGACACTGGGCTGTGCTTCATCCTATGCCTGTAGATTGCTCCCCAGACATCAGTGTAGAACACACATAATGGGTCTGATTTACTCAAGGCCTAGAGACCATTCACTTAACATATTGAATGTTCTAGATCAGTGCTTCCCAACCTCAATCCTCAAGAACCCCCAACAGGTCATGTTTTCAACAGGTGCAATCCATACCTATGGCTAGATATTTATGACGGCTAATTTATTTAAAGTGGAACTCACCTTCACTCCAGCATTGTGGTGTCCTGGAGCTTCTCAATGGCCTCAGACCACTTCAGCAGGTCTTCTTCCAGGGTCTGATTTTCATTTATTTTGATTGGGCAGACTTAGATGATGTCACTTCTGCACATGCATGGGAGTTCATTCATTTTACCAGATGCTGAAATTTTACACTGAGCTCTTTTTTATTGTGTCTCTTCTACAATAAAAAAACCTGCCTGTTCACAATTTTACTTTAGGGGAAATTCCCAAAGCATGTTCTGTTGGGAGTACGTGAGAAAGTGAGGTCAGAAACCACTGTTCTAGAAGAAGAATTCTTCACATCAAACATTCCGTTATCACCAGACTGACTATTGTTTATCACACCAATGCTTCTAGCCCAAAAATGGATATTTCCCACCTACCTACTGTTTATTTATGGAAACAACATAGAGGGTGTCTTAAAAAAAATGTATGAAATGTTTGGGGGAGATGGCTGAATACTCACAGGTCTAGGTCCTTTACAGTTGATACTACACAGGCTTTTGGGTTAGATAAGTTTGATGTTACTCAGCACACTTCTACACTCACCGGCCACTTTATTAGGTGCACCTTGCTAGTGGCCAAGAAAATATCCCCCACACCATCACACCACCTCCAGCCTGAACTGTTTGATAGGATAGATCGATGCTTTCATGTTCTTTATACAAATTCTGACCCTACCATCTGAATATCGCAGCAACCAGTTTGCCTATTCTCTTCTGATCTCTGACATCAACAAGGCATTTTTGTCCACACAACTGCCACTCAGTGGATATTATCTCTTTTTCGGACCATTCTCTGTAAATCCTCGAGATGGTTGCTCATGAAAATCTCAGTAGATCAGCAGTTTTTGAAATACTCAGACCAGCCTGTCTGAACGTGGCATGGTTGTTGGTGCCAAATTTACTTCCCTTTCTTCCCCATTCTGATACTCGGTTTGAACCTCAGCAAGTCGTCTCCACCACATCTACATGCTTAAATGCATTGGGTTGCTGCCTTGTAATTGGCTGAGTAGCAATTTGTGTTGCCAAGTAATTGGACAGGTGTACCTAATAAAGAAGCCGGTGTAGGCCAAAGGGGACGGAAATAAAAGCACAGCTAGACACAGAAAAGTATGGAGTAAATATACTGTAGTCTAGTGACAACAGTTGTTATTATACACTATATAAGCCTTTCTCAACCTTATAAAATTGGAGGAACCCTTGAAATAATTTTCAGGTCTCAGGGAACCTAACAAATTTACTATATCTATAGCTCATGGAACATTAGCATGAACATATTTGACACCTAGGGCTGCTCTATACGACACAATCTTTTTCAGTAATAACAATGAAAAAAATAATGGCCAAAAAAGAAATGTAGACAGTGAAAATTATAGTGTTGCCTCACATTTGCGGTAACAATTATGGGCCACCAGCAATGTGTCCCACTACAATGGTGGTCAGTAAAATGCTCCCTAGCAATGGTGGTCAGTCGAGACAAAAAACCCTCCTACATTGGTGGGAGGGGGCTCCCTTTATCTTGGTGGTCAGTGAGAGGAATGCCCTCTTACAGATAGCTAAAAAGATCGTTGGTCAGATAGACAGATATTACACACTGTCCTGGGAACCTCTGGAGGAACCCAATGTATTCTACAGAATCCTGGTTGAGACAGATTGTATTATACTGCCAATGGTACAGTGCAGAACATAAACATTTGTACATGCTACTGGACACAATACAGATTGGTTTCTATAAAGCAGTATTTTCTATATGTGAACAATCAAACATCAGACATGCGAAATTGTACGTGTTTTAGAGACCGGCACGACCAATATATATCAGTCTATACTTAGGCAGGGCAGCATTAGCTGGGTGGATGACCTCATTGAAGATAGGTGGGTGCTGATTTCTCCAATCTAATCCTAAAAAAAAATTGATTAATCAAAACATGCTCCTGGAACATGTTCTTGGACTAAAGTCTTCAACAACTTCAATTAGAAAATCCACAGGAGTAATGGGGACCATGAAGTCTAATTTGTCAGTGAGAGAGACCTGTAATTGGTAATTATATTCATTGGTTTAGTGACCATGGGAATTCTGTTCATTGGTTTAGTGACCATGAGAATTCTGTTCATTGGTTTAGTGACCATGAGAATTATGTTCATTGGTTTAGTAACCATGAGAATTATGTTCATTGGTTTAGTGACCATGAGAATTATGTTCATTGGTTTAGTGACCATGTTCATTGGTTTAGAATTATGTTCATTGGTTTAGTGACCATGAGAATTCTGTTCATTGGTTTAGTAACCATGAGAATTATGTTAATTGGTTTAGTGACCATGAGAATTATGTTCTTTGGTTTAGTAACCATGAAAATTATGTTCATTGGTTTAGTAACCATGAGAATTCTGTTCATTGGTTTACTACCCATCAGAATTATGTTCTTTGGTTTAGTGACCATGACAATTCTGTTCATTGGTTTAGTAACCATGACAATTCTGTTCATTGGTTTAGTAACCATGACAATTCTGTTCATTGGTTTAGTAACCATGACAATTCTGTTCATTGGTTTAGTAACCATAACAATTCTGTTCATTGGTTTAGTAACCATGAGAATTATGTTCTCTGGTTTACTACCCATCAGAATTATGTTCTTTGGTTTAGTACCCATGAGAATTATGTTCATTGGTTTAGTAACCATGAGAATTATGTTCATTGGTTTAGTAACCATGAGAATTATGTTCATTGGTTTAGTAACCATGAGAATTCTGTTCCTTGGTTTAGTAACCATGAGAATTATGTTCATTGGTTTAGTGACCATGAGAATTCTGTTCCTTGGTTTAGTGACCATGAGAATCTGTTCCTTGGTTTAGTAACCATGAGAATTCTGTCCTTCCTTGGTTTAGTAACCATGAGAATTTTGTTCCTTGGTTTAGTAACCATGAGAATTCTGTTCCTTGGTTTAGTGACCATGACAATTTCTGTTCACTGGTTTATGATCATGAGAATTCTGTTCCTTGGTTTAGTGACCATGAGAATTCTGTTCCTGGTTTAGTGACCATGACAATTCTGTTCCTTGGTTTAAACCATGACAATTCTGTTCATTGGTTTAGTGATCATGAGAATTATGTTCATTGGTTTAGTAACCATGAGAATTCTGTTCCTTGGTTTAGTGACCATGAGAATTCTATTCATTGGTTTAGTGACCTTGAGAATTCTGTTCATTGGTTTAGTGACCATGAGAATTATGTTCATTGGTTTAGTAACCATGAGAATTATGTTCTCTGGTTTACTACCCATCAGAATTATGTTCTTTGGTTTAGTACCCATGAGAATTATGTTCATTGGTTTAGTAACCATGAGAATTATGTTCATTGGTTTAGTAACCATGAGAATTATGTTCATTGGTTTAGTAACCATGAGAATTCTGTTCCTTGGTTTAGTAACCATGAGAATTATGTTCATTGGTTTAGTGACCATGAGAATTCTGTTCCTTGGTTTAGTAACCATGAGAATTCTGTTCCTTGGTTTAGTAACCATGAGAATTCTGTTCCTTGGTTTAGTAACCATGAGAATTTTGTTCCTTGGTTTAGTAACCATGAGAATTCTGTTCCTTGGTTTAGTGACCATGACAATTCTGTTCACTGGTTTAGTGATCATGAGAATTCTGTTCCTTGGTTTAGTGACCATGAGAATTCTGTTCCTTGGTTTAGTGACCATGACAATTCTGTTCCTTGGTTTAGTAACCATGACAATTCTGTTCATTGGTTTAGTGATCATGAGAATTATGTTCATTGGTTTAGTGACCATGAGAATTCTGTTCCTTGGTTTAGTGACCATGAGAATTCTATTCATTGGTTAGTGACCTTGAGAATTCTGTTCATTGGTTTAGTGACCATGAGAATTATGTTCATTGGTTTAGTGACCATGAGAATTATGTTCATTGGTTTGGTGACCATGAGAATTATGTTCATTGGTTTGGTGACCATGAGAATTATGTTCATTGGTTTAGTGACCATGAGAATTATGTTCATTGGTTTAGTGACCATGAGAATGATGTTCATTGGTTTAGTGACCATGAGAATGATGTTCATTGGTTTAGTAACCATGAGAATTCTATTCAGAACAGATTAAAATACAGTCTGCCTCTAGGGTCTGGTGGCATTGACATTGCAGCAGAAGTTTGTTCGTGGTGCATATGTGTGCCTAGCCCAAACTCCGGAACCCTAAATAATGAATGATTAACAAAAACCATACATTATAACTGCAGATCTGTATCTGCATGCTCAGAGGATGGAATGAATGCATTAACATGAAGTGGCTTCAGTAAATTATTCGGTTAATGATGTTTGCAATCTTGTGTTCAGGTTGATCGCACGGAACGGATTTCCAATTGCTTAAACCCAAAGTTTGCAAAGAAGTTTGTGATTGACTACTACTTTGAAGTCGTGCAGAAAGTGAAGTTTGCCGTTTATGATATTGACAATAAAACCTACGATCTGGGAGATGATGATTTCTTGGGAGAGTGTGAATGCACCCTGGGACAAGTAAGTGTCTTTCCAATTTTATGCTGGACTAGAAACATTTCTACAGGACAACAGTGTGGACAAAAAGAGACACCATTGTCACTGTACTTATTTATGAACTGAGATCTTTAGAATATCATCCTGTAATATTCAAGAAGATCTCCAGCTAAATAAGTCCATGATATAGTGTTAAAAAAGTAACTGTTGGAAAAAGAGAGCCTGTGCATACTTTTGCCAGTATTTTTTAAAGTGTTACTAAACACACAACAGTAAAATCAGTCTGTATACCGTATTTTCCGCCGTATAAGACGCACCTGACCATAAGACGCACCTAGGTTTTAGAGGCAGAAAACAGGAAAAAAAAATTCTGAACTAATGGACTGCAGACACAGTACAGGAGATGACCAGAGACTGCGGACAGCACAGGGATGACTAGAGACTGCGGACAGCACAGGGATGACTAGAGACTGCGGACAGCAAGGGGATGACTAGAGACTGCGGACAGCACAGGGATGACTAGAGACTGCGGACAGCACAGGGATGACTAGAGACTGCGGACAGCACAGGGATGACTAGAGACTGCGGACAGCACAGGGATGACTAGAGACTGCGGACAGCACAGGGATGACTAGAGACTGCGGACAGCACAGGGATGACTAGAGACTGCGGACAGCACAGGGATGACTAGAGACTGCGGACAGCACAGGGATGACTAGAGACTGCGGACAGCACAGGGATGACTAGAGACTGCGGACAGCACAGGGATGACTAGAGACTGCGGACAGCACAGGGATGACTAGAGACTGCGGACAGCACAGGGATGACTAGAGACTGCGGACAGCACAGGGATGACTAGAGACTGCGGACAGCACAGGGATGACTAGAGACTGCGGACAGCACAGGGATGACTAGAGACTGCGGACAGCACAGGGATGACTAGAGACTGCGGACAGCACAGGGATGACTAGAGACTGCGGACAGCACAGGGATGACCAGAGACTGCGGACAGTACAGATGACTGCTGACCTTTGGGGAAGTGGGGAGCGGGTACCTGAATTTGACAGGTACCCGCTCTTACTTCCGCAGAGTTTTTGTTTGATCTAACCTGTCCCTTGATCCAGCCGCGCGCTGTCTTCTCGGCTTCTGTAATGGCGCTCGGCATGACAGCCGGGTGCCCAGTGCGCATGAGCGAGAAGCACTTGCGCTTTGTGATTGGTCCGGTGGCTTCTGGGATCTGTCATGTGTCCCAGGTACCGCCTTACCATTCACAAAGCGCACCGCTTCTCGCGCATGCGCACTGGGCACCCGGCTGTCATGCCGAGCGCCATTACAGAAGCCGGGAAGACAGCACGCCGCTGGATAGAGGAACAGGTAAGGTCCCACTGCAGAGCTGACCGGCCGGCCCGGTATTCTGACACGGCTGCGGTGGAAATACTGGACCGGCCGCTCCATATTCGCCTTATAAGACGCACTGACATTTCCCCCCCCCCCCAGTTTTGGGGAAGAAAAAGTGCGTCTTATACGGCAAAAAATACGGTATGCAGTAAAGCATGCTTGTTAAACTCACTGTGGAACCTAAGGGGTTAATCTTCTGCATTGTGTAAAAAGGCTGTTTGATCCTTTCTTCTCTGTTCCTCCCCTCTTTCAAGCGACCACCTCTTATCTCCTGACTGAACCATAGGCATGCACATGCTCATTTTGGTGTGTATTGCTAGAGAAGTTTTTTGGTTTTTTTCTTGGGAGAGTGCATGTGATTAGCACAGGGCCAATCAGCACTGTCCAGAAGGTGATCAGAGGATTTCCATCCTCCTAGAGCAGAAAAAAAACCCCTCCTACAAGCTTTAGCTAGTGGTGGGCTGAACACAGATAGAAGTCACCAGACTGCTGTAACTGCTGATGAGAAAAGGTATTTAGCAGTTTTTATTTACTAAAATAATTGCATCTCCATGTTGTGTGACCAGATATTTGAATGCAGGGTCCTGGGTTTAGTAACACTTTAAAGGAGGAGAGAAGCTTATCTGCAGTCCAGTGTTTCAACTCCTCAAAGCCCAACTCCAGCCAGAATTCTTTTAGGCTCCATGCACATTACCTGTTTTTTTTTTTTTTTCTTAAAGCTAAAAAAACGCTAGAAAAATAAACTCTAGTGGTAGCATTTTTTAGTAGTGTTTTAGTAGCATTCAGAAGCGTTAGCATTTTATTAGCATTTTTTACAGTACATATAGAAGAAAAAAAGAAAAAAGCTATAAATACTAATATGTTAGGAGTGTTTTAGTAGCATTTATCAGCGTTTATGAGCGTTTAGTGTTTTTGTTTTATTTTTGTTTTTTTTTTTCTGCTGAAAAAAACTCTACAAAAACATTTTCTGCTCCTAGATGCTGAAGCTCAAAAATTCTAATACCCTAAAGTAGCGTGCATGGGCACATTAAGCTTCTAGGAGCAAGAAAAAAAATGCGAATCACAGCTTCTTGGAGGTTAAAAAAATGCTAGTGTGCACAGAGCCTTAGGTGTGAAGGGGAAGAGTTAGAACCTCTATTTTTATTTCTGCTTGTTACTTTATTGGTCAGATTTTTCCTGTCTCAGTGACAACCCTGTGACACCAAGATAAGAAATCAGGAAATAAGTATTCCTGGGACAGAAAGGTACAGACGGCAATAAAATCCTTGCATGGAGGTTCTAACCCTATCCCATTCTATCCAAACCAAAAAGAAGTGAATAGAGTTTGGCTTTACGTTTCTGCCTAGTTACATTTTACTATCTGACATGCAGTAGAAGAGCCTACTCAATTCTGGGAAGATGCATTTTTTTCCCTGGTTCGGATTTGCTCAGTTATAACAAGACAGAACAGACATGCAAGAACTGTACATTATTATTATTATTATTATTATTATACAGTATTTATAAAGCGCCAATAGTTCGCTCACTGCTGTACATTACAAAGGGGGACAGAACATGTGACAGAACAACAACAATACAATGCAAAACATGAGGGGATCGAGGGCCCTGTTCTTTGGAGCTTACAATCTAGGAGGGAGGAGATGGTGGCACAGGAGGAGATAGCTGTGGGGGATGGAGTGGTAGGAAGAGTGGAGGAGGTCGGCAAGTTAGCAGGGGGTGGGGTAGGCTTCCCTGAAGAGGTGGGTTTTCAGGGTGCGCCTAAAGGAGAGGAGAGTAGGTGATAATCTGATGGGTTGGGGCAGGGAGTTCCAGAGGATGGTTGACACCCTGGAGAAGTCCTGGAGGCGGGCATGGGAGGAGGAGACCAGGGAACTAGAGAGAAGGAGGTCTTGTGAGGAGCGGAGTGTGTGTGCTGTGCGGTACTTGGATATTAGGTCAGTGATGTAGTTCGGGGCAGTATGGTGGACAGCTTTGTACGTCAGTGTTAGGATTTTGAATTTGATCCGTTGCGCAATCGGAAGCCAGTGGAGGGATTGGCAGAGGGGGGTGGTGGAAACGGAGCAGTTGGAAAGGTGAATGAGTCTGTCAGCCGTATTCAGGATCGACTGAAGTGGGGATAGCCAGCGGCGAGGCAGGCCAGTAAGGAGGGAGTTGCAGTAATCGAGTCGTGATATGAGGGAGTGGATGAGCTGTTTAGTGGTTTCTGGGGTTAGGAACGTGCGGATTTTGGCGATGTTGTGGAGGTGTAGTCTGCACGAACTTGTTAAAGATTGGACTTGGGGCTGGAAGGATAGGTTGGAGTCCAGAATAACACCAAGTACTCCGGCCTGCGGGGCGGGTTTGATGGTGGCGTTGTTGGATGTGATGGAGAAGTCAATGGGGGGTGGTGTCCGGGCTGGGGGGAAGACAAACTCGGTTTTGGAGAGGTTCAGTTTAAGGAAGTGGAGCGACATCCAGTCTGATATGTCGCTCAGTAGGTGTGTGATTCGGGCGGAGACTGAGGTGGGGGGGGTTGAGAGATAGATTTGTGTGTCGTTGGCATATAGGTGGCAGTTGAAGCCGTGGCAGTGTATGAGTTGGCCAAGGGAGGAGGTGTAGATGGAGAAGAGAAGGTACCTGAGGACAGAGCCTTGAGGGACCCCAACAGAGAGGGGGAGTGAGGGGGAGGTGGTAGCATTATAGGTAACGCTGAAAGAGCGTTGTGACAGGTAGGATGAGAGCCAGGAGAGAGCAGAATCTCTGAGGCCGAGGGAGTGCAGTTTTTTTGAGGAGGAGGGGGTGGGTCGACTGTGTCGAAGGCCGCGGAGAGGTCAAGGAGTAGGAGCACTGAATAGTGGCCATTAGCATTGGGAAGAGGTTATGTTTTAATGAGTGATGGGAAGGTACATGGAATATCAATTAAGCAGTGGTCATGGCTACAGTTCTTTTAAAGCATTTTTTGACAACTCTTTTTAATGAATTATTAAAAACTTTCTTTGTTTTTAAGATCGTGTCTAGCAAGAGACTGACCAAACCGCTTGTAATGAAAAATGGCAGACCAGCAGCCAAAGGAACAATAACGGTATAGTCATCCATCAGGTTTTTGTTGTTGTTTTATTGCTTTCATACATATTGTGTTGATTTACCTTTGCCGATTGCCCTTTTACACCCTGCTGTATGAGAAATAAGGTAAACTTTTTTTTTTTTTTTTTTTCATGCAAATACTTGTAAGGCGCATGCAAGCAAACCTCAAAAACTGTGTTTCCTGTGGTTGTCTCAATTGTTTCCTACCTGGAGTCCAGTTTTTCTATGGCTAACAGCGTAGATGGAGGAATCGCCACTGTATTAAAAGAGAAGTTTGGAAATTGAAAAAATATAAAAAAATAATCCTAGGTGGATGCAGCACTAACCCCAACTGATTTAATCTGTACCCCATTAGTTTTCATCTGTCCCCCATTAGCTCTACACTGGTCGAAGACCTCTGATTGCTCCTCGTTCTCAGTCTGCAGAGAACCGGTGACTGTCAATCGAGTCATTTGGGTGGATTCAAACTTTAAAGTCGGTGTCTTTCCAGAGCCTGGAGTGGAGTACAGAACTAAGTGCACTCCTGTTACCTACAGGAAAAGTAGGCTCAAAAGAGCTTTGGCCATACTTCTTTAAGGACGTGTGGCTTCTTGAATACAGTTGTGCTGCCGAACAATGACTGGATCTGATAGGCTCAGTTTATTTTTAAACTAATTGGCCAAGCCGTATGGTGCTCACAGGCCACCCACAATTCTAAAACGTTGGCTAGTTCAGCATCAGCTAAAATTCAAACCATTTATGCCCAAGAGGAGGTCAGCTAGGAGCAGGCAAAATACAGATTTGTTTTAATACTGTATGGTTCTGAAACAGGTCTTAAAGTAACCTACTAAATATGTTTGTTCTTTAAAGGGAGCATATCTATTACACAGTGCAACTAATATTTCATGTTGGGCTTTACTTTATTTCAGATATGTGCGGAAGAGATTAAGGATAACAGAATAGTACAGTTTGAAGCGGAAGCAAGAAAATTGGACAATAAGGTAAAATGCTGATCTTTACTGATTATATTTCAGATTCTTGTAGCTTTTATTACCTGATCTGATATTTGAACTTTATAGTTTAGTGGTCCACATACAGTGGCCTTGTACAGTCTTGTATTGAGCATTTTTCAGTAATGAATCTCTTCAGAGTGTGCTCACGAATGTAATATATAACATTTACTGATGTGCATGAAAATTTTGCAGGATTTCTTTGGAAAGTCGGACCCTTACTTGGAGTTTTACAGACAGGGGGATGATGGAAGATGGCAGATGGTCCACAGGACAGAAGTAAGTGCATTCATAGGTAAAGGGAAGTGCAACATAACTGTGTCCCTAATGCTTTTGTATGCTGATCAGTTATTTAATAACATAGATGAACCAGCTTCAATGTACACCCACCAATCAGCTGTTTATAGTATATTTACTTTCTGATAGGCAGACATTATATTCTATCACAGAGTGAATATACATCTCACGGAAAGGGCACACACTTTCAATGTCTGTTGTTTCTGAATGATCAGATCTGATCATGTATGGCCATTTTCAAAGCTAAATTTACATCTGCAGCCTGATAGCCAACACCACTAAATAATTTCTGTTAGCAGCAATGTTTTTTTCACTCTTTGTTTCGTCAGAACAGAATGATTGTTTCCCTTTTACAGTGAATTTGACCTGATCCTTATATTTATTAGGTAGTAGCAGTGTTGAAGTGTCCTGTCTTCAGATCAATGTCTGTATCCCTGAGGAATCCCTCTGGATCTCAGGTCCAGACTGCACACTTTTTACCAAGTTGCCAATAAGTACCGCTGCCTCCTGGCACTAGGCTGCACGCTGCCCTTTAACATTTTAAATGTGGCATTTGACAGAGGCTGTAGTTTGGTGGCAGGATGAGTTGGGGCTTATTTTTGACTTGGGTAGAATTTGGGGTTCCAGGTACAGCTTGGGCCTGGTGTCCAAGGGGCTCCACAGAGATACATGGGCCAATCTGAAGACCAATACAGGTACACAACAAGGTACCTACAGTTTTAAATACATTCTTATTACAGTAACAATGATTTATGGCAGGTCATTTTCACTTTAAACTTCCTACTGGTTTCTAGAATGGTGTGATTGTCTCCTGAATTATATATTAACCTCTCTCAACCCACAGAACAATTACATTTTTATATTGTTTATTGATTTTCCCAGAAATGATTTATAGCGAATTCTAACCAACGTATGAAACATATGTTATAGGACAGGGGTATTAAATTTAAAATTCAAGGAGGTCCGGTCAGTAAAATTTTCTTCTGGCTGAGGTCCGAATAGGGTGTGCCCATCAGTGTGCCCCCTTACATTAGGTGATGCCATCAGAGTGTAACTTTACATCATGTATTCCCATCACATCAGGTGTCCCCATCAGAGTGCTCCTTTACATCAGTTGTCCCCATCACATTGCCACCTTACATCAGGTATTCCCGTCAGAGTGCTCCCTTACACTCAAAGTACCCCTTTCTATCATATTTCCCCATCAGAGTGCCCCTTTGCATCATATTCCCAATCAGAGAGCCCCTTTCCACCACATGTGCCCCTTTCCATCACATGTGCCCCTTTCCATCACATGTGCCCATCAGAGTGCCCCTTTCCATCACATGTGCCCATCAGAGAGCCCCTTTCCATCACATGTGCCCATCAGAGTGCCCCTTTCCATCACATGTGCCCATCAGAGTGCCCCTTTCCATCACATGTGCCCATCTGAGTGCCCCTTTCCATCACATGTGCCTATCTGAGTGCCCCTTTCCATCACATGTGCCCATCAGAGTGCCCCTTTCCATCACATGTGCCCATCAGAGTGCCCCTTTCCATCACATGTGCCCATCAGAGTGCCCCTTTCCATCACATGTGCCCATCAGAGTGCCCCTTTCCACAGTATGTGTCCAGAGTGCCCGTTAACATAAAATGTGCCCGTCAGAGTGCCCCTTTACATCGTATTTCCCATCAGAGTGCCCCTTTCCATCACATGTGCCCATCAGAGTACCCCTTTCCATCACATGTGCCCATCAGAGTGCCCCTTTCCATCACATGTGCCCATCAGAGTGCCCCTTTCCATCACATGTGCCCATCAGAGTACCCCTTTCCATCACATGTGCCCATCAGAGTACCCCTTTCCATCACATGTGCCCATCAGAGTACCCCTTTCCATCACATGTGCCCATCAGAGTGCCCCCTTTCCATCACATGTGCCCATCAGAGTGCCCCCTTTCCATCACATGTGCCCATCAGAGTGCCCCCTTTCCATCACATGTGCCCATCAGAGTGCCCCCTTTCCATCACATGTGCCCATCAGAGTGCCCCCTTTCCATCACATGTGCCCATCAGAGTGCCCCCTTTCCATCACATGTGCCCATCAGAGTGCCCCCTTTCCATCACATGTGCCCATCAGAGTGCCCCCTTTCCATCACATGTGCCCATCAGAGTGCCCCCTTTCCATCACATGTGCCCATCAGAGTGCCCCCTTTCCATCACATGTGCCCATCAGAGTGCCCCCTTTCCATCACATGTGCCCATCAGAGTGCCCCCTTTCCATCACATGTGCCCATCAGAGTGCCCCCTTTCCATCACATGTGCCCATCAGAGTGCCCCCTTTCCATCACATGTGCCCATCAGAGTGCCCCCTTTCCATCACATGTGCCCATCAGAGTGCCCCCTTTCCATCACATGTGCCCATCAGAGTGCCCCCTTTCCATCACATGTGCCCATCAGAGTGCCCCCTTTCCACAGTATGTGCCCATCAGAGTGCCCCCTTTCCACAGTGTGTGCCCATCAGAGTGCCCCCTTTCCACAGTGTGTGCCCATGAGAGTGCCCCCTTAACAGAACATGTGCCCATCAGAGTGCCCCCTTAACAGAACATGTGCCCATCAGAGTGCCCCCTTAACAGAACATGTGCCCATCAGAGTGCCCCCTTAACAGAACATGTGCCCATCAGAGTGCCCCCTTAACAGACCATGTGCCCATCAGAGTGCCCCCTTAACATAAAATAAGGGACATTCTGATGGGCACATTTTATGTTAAGGGGCACTCTGATGGGAACATGTTATGTTAAGGGGCACTCTGATGGGCACATTATATGTTGTGCCCATCAGCGTGCCCCTTAACATTCAATGTGCCCATCAGAGTGCCCTTAACATTCAATGTGCCCATCAGAGTGCCCTGTAAGACTGCACCCTACCTTTAGGGCAGACAAGAGCTTGCCTGGATCCTTGCTGAATGCTTGTGGCCAGGCAGGGAGCGGGAGCCAGTGAGAGAGTGAGCTGAAAGGGGCGGGGTGCACACATGATGTCATGTTGCCGTGGTGACCGCCCTGCTCAGCGGTGGATCTGTCATTGCAGGCTAGCGGTCAGGGTGGCAGTGCTGCTGGGGTCGTTCGTGGACCATGGTCCACCATTCAGTGACTGCTGCTATAGGAGATAAATAGACTGCATTTACTGTACAATGTTCTGCGTGGCTACTTTTTATAGTGTACAATTACTTCTCAGGTGGTCAAGAATAATCTGAATCCTGTTTGGAGACCTTTCAAAATACCACTGCGGTCCCTCTGCAATGGGGATATGGAGAAGCCAATACGGGTAAAGGATGATTACTAGTAATATACTCTTACAAATTGTGCATGTGTGCCTGGTACTATAAAACCACCAGCAATTCAGAAGTGTCTGTTAAACTAGAGAGGAAACTGTTCCTCCTAAAGTTATTATTATTATTATACAGGATTTATATAGTGCCAACAGTTTGCGCAGCGCTTTACAATATAAGGGAGACCGTACAATTTCAATACATTTCAGTTATTTTATTCTGTTCATTTGGTAGCATAAGCAAAATGCTAGTTGCCTGGCTGCCAATGGCTTCAATACTTTAGAACACTTATCTGGAATAAACATACAGATCGTAAAATTGATGTGAAGTCCTAATCTGTGTGCTTGTTCATGGATAGTAACCAAAACTGCTGGATCAGCATGGCAGTGAAGCAGTATTTTCAGAAAACTGCAATGGGAGTTCCATACTTTTTTGTAACATCTTTCCATTAAAGTGCTATTAGACCCTTAAGTGTTTATTTTAACCTAACACATTGAACACAAAAATAATCATCCCCCAGTGAGTTATGTGTTAAAATTCTGGCCCTAGCACTTGCAGTTTACAACTTTCTATGCTTCTGGAAAGAGTTAGTCATTTGTAAAAGTTCAGTTATTTAAAAAAAATAATAAACATGTTATACTTACCTGCTCTGTGCTATGGTTTTGCACAGAGTACCCCGATCCTCCTCTTCTGGGGTCCCTTGCCAGGGTTCCTGCCCCCCCCTTCCCTGAGTGCTCCTATAGCAAGCCGCTTGCTATGGAGGCACTCGAGCAGGCTCACTCCTGAGTCGGTGCGTCTTGGCGCTGCCCCCCACTCGCTCCTCACAGGCTGCGATCGACAGTAGCAGGAGCCAATGGCTTCTGCTGCTGTGTCTGCGCCAGTGAGGACAAAGAGAGAGTGCAGCGATGCTGCTCTTGTGCATAGCACTGGATCAATATAGGGCTCTGGTAAGTATTTGGGGGGGGCTGCACATAAGGTTTTTTGTTTTTAATGTAGGGAATGCATTAGTATAAAAAACCTTTAATTTACTACCACTTTGACAGTGGACAGTGCAGTCTACAGGCAGTCTGTTAGTTTGGAGGATGGAAGAGGGAGGATCAGGGGAGTGCCTTTCAATCCTAGGCTATAGGGTTGTATGTTTCTGTTGAAGTACATGTGTAGGAAGACACAGCTCTAGTCCCTGGATGCAAGGGTGGCTCCATAGGATGCTGCAAGAGAAAGAAGCCCCCTGAAACAGAAAATCTTTGGACAGTGGACATAAAACCTGCTTAAACATGGACATAGTTGAGGATTAAAAGATAAAGCTGCATGGTCAGTATGTAACTAAATCAGCTGCTGAACATGCCTAAAACCTCAGGATATAGTATTACTTATATACCTAGGGTTGTAAAACTGGTTGAATTACTCCAATAGCAGTCACGTTCTTTGGACAACTTGGAACGACATTCATAGCTGGGTGTTGTCGAGTGCGACTTAAAGTGGTTCTAAAGATTCAAGGATTTTTAACTTCATATATTCTATGCATGAAGGTGAAAAACCTTCTGTGTGCAGCTGTCCCCTTATCAGCTACTTGCACTTCATGTGAATCACGTACACATAATCCTATTACAGCGCTCTGTGACCTGTAAATTGATTGAAAAGTCTTTTTATTTTAAATAATAAACCTGTTATAATTACCTGCTATGTGCAATGAAATTGCATGGAACAGCCCTAAACTTCTGGAGTCCTCTGCTAGCGCTCCTTGCCCTGCTTGCTGCTATCAGGGCACTCATGTAGGCTCGATCCTGAGCCAGCTGCCTGCGTCTATAGACAGTGAGACTTGGCCTCACCCGCCACTTTCATCTCACAGAATGTGACTGACAGTAGCAGGAACCAATGAGCAATGGCTCCTTCTGCTCTCAACCAAGCCTGTAAGAGCAGGGAGAGGGGAGAGCTGCTACAGATGGGTACAGCGCTGGATTGACTGAGGACCCGGGGGGGGGGGGGGGGATATAGGGTTGTGAGGGAGTGATACTACTACCTAAACATTTGTTTACTTTAATGTAGGGAATGCATTAAGATAAAAACATAATTAGGCTTTAGAGCCACCTTAACTAGGAATCCTACATATAATGAACTCTATTAAAGCCATACTAATGTTACAGTGTGACACAATACATAATAAATCAATCAAAAACTCAAGGCTCAAACAAATAAACAAAGTGAATTGAGTGTCCAAATCCTAAAGAGAAAATCTACACTTGTGTACAGGTAATCAAGTGTAGATTTCAATATATTATATGTATGGTTTCTAGTTTTTCTTTTTTTTTGGTTTTTTTTAAGCACCATTTTTTTTTCTTTTATTTATTATGTATTGTATCACATGAGCATGAATTTAGAAGAGCTCATTATATTAAATATATAATTTCTAGTTAAAGGATAAGTTCACCTAATCATAATTAGGTCCATGATTTGTAAATTGAAGTTTAATCCCAATTAGATTGCACAGTATAATTCCACAATCTTCACTATGAATCATATGGGGTGAATTTACAAGTATCTGTAGAAAGGTCAGATGATAAAAAATGGCTAGGTTGATGTTATACAGCTAGCTAAATATTTAAATATGGAAAGACTATGTAAACCTGCATTTCATATTCCTGATATGAGCCTGCTGTACCATACACTTGTATGAAAAAGTATCCTGTTCTTTATATTGCTTCCCTTGTGTGAAATCCCTGGTGTTCTGCCAGTCTCTGTGCTATTTCTATTAAAACTGACCACATTAGTCAGGAGAACACACCATGGCCAGTTCTGTAGCTATGCTGGGAACTCAGCCTGTTCTCCAATGATCAGACTTGTGCTGACACCCCCTTCCCCTGCACAATCATTCACTGGGAAGATCAATGTGCAGCTGTTTTTCCTCCCTGAGCTCCTTATGCAGCTGAAGGCAGAGGGTATGTGATCACTTATAAAAAAAAAATAAAAAAGTATAAAACACTTTTTTTTCCCCTATTTTCTATCTATACAAAAAATTTTGCCTTTCATATCTGTTTTAAACGGAATGGGTTGTTTTACAAGGTGAGGGTTTACATAGTACTTTAAAGCCGCACCTTATAGTGGAGTCCATTCTCATTCATGTTGGTGGTTTCTGTTTGCCTTCTCTGCCTGTAGCTTCATGGGTCCTTTCTGGTTTCCAGGTTGAATGTTATGACTATGACAGTGATGGATCACATGACCTCATCGGAATCTTCCAGACCAACATGTCTAAGCTAAAGGAAGCAAGTCGTTCGATGCCAGTAAGTGTCTGCAAATATTACAAGTCTAAGGTAGATGTGAATGGCCCCTTGAGGTCCAACCGAGCCCCACCTACATTGGGCTGCACTTGGTAAATTCAGTGCAGAGGATATCAGTAGGACATATTCCTATTGTGATGCTTGGCACAGCACTTATCAAAACAAGCACATGTACACGGTGGGATTGCTGTTTGTGGGTTTTAACCACTTGCCCTCTGGAGGATTTACCCCCCTTCCTGACGAGGCCATTTTTTGTGTTGCGGCGCTGCGTTACTTTAGCTGACAATTGCACGGTCATGCAACGCTGCACCCAAATTAAATTTACATCCTTTTTTTTTTTTCCAACAAATTGAGCTTTCTTTTGGTGTGGTAATTGATCGCCTGTGCGTGTTTATTTTTGGCGCTATAAGCAAAAAAAGACCGACAATTTTGAGAAAAAAACAATATTTTGGACTTTTTGCTATTAAACATGTCCAGTTGTAAATTAATTGGTTTACATGAAAGTTATAGCGTTTGCAAACGGCGGTATAGATACTGGAATTTAAAAAAAAACTAATTTTCTACCAGTAATGGTGGCGATCAGCAACTTTTAGCAGGACTGTAAGAAAAATTAATAGCGCCTATGGTCAAAATTATATAACTTACTAATAGTGTACCAGCTGCAAAAAATCATCATATTAAAGTGTACCAATAAATAAATTATTTGCGCTAGTAAATGTGTATAAATATATAAATATATATAAAGAAATCAAATCATAAGTCCAGAAAAAAATATATATATGCCAATACCACAAAAAAAAATATATAAAAAAACTTTTAAGTGCAAAAAACTTTTGTGCAAAAAAAGTGTCTAAATATGAAAAATTTCACCAAAAAACCTTGATAATATAATGGCAGATCATCCATAAATATATCTTCAGAAACGGAAACTCTGCAACACACCGATCCTCATCGATCGAAATAACAGGATGAAAAACTTTGTAGTTAATCGAAAATCCACTTCTCCAATAGATAAAGGACCACCTTCAAACGTATCCATGGGGGGAAATGCCAAGCACTCGAGAGAAACAGAAAGACTTCATGGTGCAATATTATAAAAACCAATTCCTTTATTAGGTACTCATTGCACTTACTCAAGAGGTGTCCCAGCCGACACCAGCATCAACAGCATAACAGCAATCACATAAACGAGCCTGGCTACTCAGCACATGCGCAGTAGCTGGCAGCCAAAAACGTAATGATGTCACATCAATCAAGCCCCGCCCTACGCGTTTCGTCATCGACGTCCTCACGGAGCGGACGTGAGGACGTCGATGACAAAACGCGTAGGGCGGAGCTTGATTGATGTGACGTCATTACGTTTTTGGCTGCCAGCTACTGTGCATGTGCTGAGTAGCCAGGCTCGTTTATGTGATTGCTGTTATGCTGTTGATGCTGGTGTCGGCTGGGACACCTCTTGAGTAAGTGCAATGAGTACCTAATAAAGGAATTGTTTTTTTTATAATATTGCACCATGAAGTCTTTCTGTTTCTCTCGAGTGCTTGGCATTTCCCCCCATGGATACGTTTGAAGGTGGTCCTTTATCTATTGGAGAAGTGGATTTTCGATTAACTACAAAGTTTTTCATCCTGTTATTTCGATCGATGAGGATCGATGTGTTGCAGAGTTTCCGTTTCTGAAGATATATTAATGGATGATCTGCCATTATATTATCAAGGTTTTTTTGGTGAAATTTTTCATATTTAGACACTTTTTTTGCACAAAAGTTTTTTGCACTTAAAAGTTTTTTTTATATTTTTTTTTTTGTGGTATTGGCATATATATATTTTTTCTGGACTTATGATTTGATGATTTCTTTATATATATTTATATATTTATACACATTTACTAGCGCAAATTATTTATTTATTTTTAGCAGGACTGTGGCAGACATTCTGACACTGGGGGGAACTAACTTGGTGACAGCAATACGGTGATTAGTGCTTAAGCACTGACACTGTACTAATGGCACTGGGCAGGAAGGGGTTAATGTGAGGGGCTATCAAAGAGTTAACTATGTGCTGGGAGTAATTTACTAGGAGGCGGGGGGTGTGCGCTTTACTGTAAGCACACTGATCGGGATGGCTGTGCTGTGCATACCCATCCTGAGCAGTGTGCTCGAGCTGACAGGGAGGAAGACTGTTTGTTTGTAAACAAAACAGTCTTCCTCCCCATCGGTGATTGTCGGTAATCACTGGGCGCCGGCGGGTAATTACCGGCTGGAACCCGGTGATTGACATCCACAGCCGTGAATGGCGATGCAGGTAGGGTGTGCACGCGGCCGTGCGGCATGTAGCACTATATCTGCTATATGGCGGCGTGGAAGCGGTTAAAGAACACTAAGCAGCCAGTGGGGATGTCATGCTGACAGGAAGCAGAATGGGCTCAGAAGGCCTCTTTCACTGCTGCTGGTCTGCGCTGAAGGTAACTGATTGATTGAAATTAAATGATCTTTACCAAGTTATGTAATTTGAAGCTATTGTACAAAACCCCCTTCATGGGACTTTTAAGACCGATATGACAATCGTGTATATATCAATAAAAGGCTAGCATGCCAAGTTTTTTACAAAAGATCCACAGAGTATACAAGTATATTACATACACAAAATACTGTATCAATGTTATTACATAAACACAGCTAAAATTATTAAAACCCCATATGCCCATAATATATAAAAAATTGTATGCCTGTCATTGCTTAAATAATTCTAGAGACATCAGGATAAAAAACCCAACATGCTTTGGAAAAACGCTTTCTTTAGGAGAAAATGTAGGGGTATGCCTGCTTTTTTAAATCGCATTATTAAGTATATAACATTATCCAGATAGTACCAATATAGTATCCACATGCTGTCATTTTACGTGCTATACTTATGTATTTGATCAATTATAAATAGTTGAATACAGATGGCTGCAAGAATAGGGCTGCCAACACACTGCACATCCACCCCGGACCCGGATGAGGATACATTCTAGGGGCCAACGCACATCCACTGGTTATGTAATTTTAGCATGCAACAGCAGTATTTTTTCTTTTTTTTTTCTTTTTTTTTTTGATTGGGTTTTGGAGATCACAAGACAGTGTTAGAACATTTGTCAGACTTTTATTGCTGTGTCCCCACAAGGATTTCCCCACTGTTGCCAGTGTAATGGAAACCTTTTCAACATGGATGCAAACAGCAGTAAAATCCAGGCAGTGGCTCTGACCTCTCCTTGCCCAAAGCAAATGAAAACTGTCTTATTAAAATATATTAAACTTTTTATAGTAAAATAATTTGTGGTTTTTAATCACCTTATTAAGGTGTATGCCATGTATTTTAAAGCCCTAACGAATTTTCAGCCGAAATTAGCTAAATCAATTTCAGGTGTATTAAAACACAAGGTGTGCAATATCTTACAGCTGGTCTTCTGTAGAAAACTCTGCACAGCCACCCATAGACTCATACTGTATGTGGGGCATATGGGCATTAAAGCCCACCCTCTTTGCCGCTAATTTGAGCGTTAAAGCCCACCCCCTTTGCCGCTAATTTGGGAGTTAAAGCCCACCCCCTTTGCCGCTAATGTGAGAATTAAAGCCCGCCCTCTTTGCTGCTAATGTAAACGTTAAAGCCCACCCTCTTTGCCGCTAATTTGAGCGTTAAAGCCCACCCTCTTTGCCGCTAATATGGGAATTAAAGCCTACTCTCTTTGCCGCTAATTTGAGCGTTAAAGCCCACCCTCGTTGCCGCTAATTTGGGAGTTAATGCCCACCCTCTTTGCTGCTAATTTGGGAGTTAAAGCCCACCCTCTTTGCTGCTAATTTGGGAGTTAAAGCCCACCCTCTTTGCTGCTAATTTGGAAGTTAAAGCCCGCTCTCTTTGCCGCTAATTTGGGCGTTAAAGCCCACCCTCTTTGCCACTAATTTGAGCATTAAAGCCCACCCTCTTTGCCGCTAATTTGAGCATTAAAGCCCACCCTCTTTGCCGTTAATTTGAGCATTAAAGCCCACCCTCTTTGCCGCTAATTTGGGCGTTAAAGCCCACACTCTTTTCCATTTAAGTTTGAGGACGTTTCTTCATTTAATTTTTATTTTTTTTTTTAAATACACCGGTTTCATTTAAAAGAATGAAAACACTACCAAGGTTCCTGTTTAGGAATTTTCTGTTATAGGGTGATATCTACCTCTCATTTTTGCACACACACACACACACACACACACACACTTCTGAAGGTGACTACAAACATCCGTTCTGACACACATTGTGCAGATATGAATCAGTGTTGTCCCTATGCATTCGCGGTCCAAAGCAATGATGCGTAGGCAACACTGGAGCAAGCCGATGTAGACAGGAAGTGGCTAAAAGAGGCTGAAAAAGATGAGCAGTTTTGAGATGCAAAAGATAATAAATAAAATAAAGAACAGCATTTTATGAAAACAAGCAATTGTTTAGATACACAATGCTTTAGCAAACATAATGTCATCCATTTATATTAAGGCTGCATGCACACTGTTGGTTTTTTAAGCTCCTAGAAGCTGTTATTAGCATTTTTTCTGCTCCTAGAAGCTAAAAAGTGTTATCCTATGTGCCCATGCACTCTACTTTAGGCTTTTAGCATTTTTTGAGTCTGAGCATGTAGAAGCAGACGATAAATTGTTTTTGCAGAGTTTTTTGGAGCGTTTTTCCAGCATAAAAAAATGCTAAAAAGTACTAGCTGCGTTTTTTTAGTCTTTTTTTTTTTTCCCCTCTACATGTACTGTAAAAACACTAGTAAATTCTAACACTCCTAAACACTCCTAAATGCTTCTGAACGCTAATATAACTCTACTAAAAAGCTATTATCAATGTTTTTTATCCAGCATTTTTCCCAGCATTTTTTTTGAGCTTAAAAAAATACTAGTGTGCATGGAGTGGTTGTAAACCTCAGACATGATCTATGAACAAAGCATATCCCTCTATAGTGTGTACTTGTGTCAATTAAGAGCTCTAAGTGTCATTTCTGTCTGCTGCTTTCTTCCTTTGCTATCAGCATAAGTCACTTCTGACACGTTTTCTTGACACCAAAATGGTGACAGGGGAGGGACCTCCAGCAGATTGGCAGCCTCGACTCTGTTCCTGTGAGCTGTGAGGAGGGAGGGGCGTCTCTTCCCTCCAATCAGCTCTCAGAGCTCACCTCACTGAGCTCTGCAGAGTATAATTTCAGCTCCCTACTCTCTTTTTTTTTCTGAACTCTGAGACAAGGTATATAAATTCAGCACCTTGAATGGATGTAGAGAAGATTACAGATAGTCAGTCAGGTACAAACTTATGAAGGAGGATTTGTTTCATCTTTGTATCACCCGAGGCCAGTCACTTCACTGGATATACAGTGGGGATCGAAAGTTTGGGCACCCCAGCTAAAAATTTGTATTAATGTGCATAAAGAAGACAAGGAAAGATGGAAAAATCTCCAAAAGGCATCAAATTACAGATTAGACATTCTTATAATATGTCAACAAAAGTTAGATTTTATTTCCATCATTTACACTTTCAAAATAACAGAAAACAAAAAAATGGCGTCTGCAAAAGTTTGGGCACCCTGCAGAATTTATAGCATGCACTGCCCCCTTTGCAAAGCTGAGACCTGCCAGTGTCATGGATTGTTCTCAGTCATCGTCTGGGCAGACCAGGTGATGTCAAGCTCAAAGGTTTTAAATGCCCAGACTCATCTGACCTTGCCCCAACAATCAGCACCATGGGTTCTTCTAAGCAGTTGTCTAGAAAACTGAAACTGAAAATAGTTGACGCTCACAAAGCTGGAGAAGGCTATAAGAAGATAGCAAAGCATTTTCAAATGTCAATATCCTCTGTTCGGAATGTAATTAAGAAATGGCAGTCACCTGGAACAGTAGAAGTTAAAGCAAGATCTGGAAGACCAAGAAAAATATCAGACAGAACAGCTCGTAGGATTGTGAGAAAAACAATTCAAAACCCACGTTTGACTGCACGATCCCTCCAGAAAGATCTGGCAGACACTGGAGTTGTGGTACACTATTCCACTATAAAGAGATACTTGTACAAATATGGTCTTCATGGAAGAGTCATCAGAAGAAAACCTCTTCTACGTCCTCACCACAAAAATCATTGTTTGAACTTTGCAAATGAACATATAGAGAAGCCTGATGCATTTTGGAAACAAGTTCTGTGGACCGATGAGGTTTAAATTGAACTTTTTGGCCGGAATGAGCAAAGGTATGTTTAGAGAAGAAGGCACAGAATTTAATGAAAAGAACCTCTGTCCAACTGTTAAGCATGGGGTTGGATCAATCATGCTTTGGGGTTGTGTTGCAGCCAGTGGCACAGGGAACATCTCACGAGTAGAAGGAAAAATGTATTCAATAAAATTTCAGCAAATTTTGGATGGTAACTTGATGCCATCTGTGAAAAAGCTGAAGTTAAAGAGAGGATGGCTTCTACAAATGGATAATGATCCTAAACACACCTCGAAATCCACGGGGGATTACATCAAGAGACGTAAACTGAAGGTTTTGCCATGGCCTTCACAATCTCCTGACCTCAACATAATTGAAAATCTATGGATAGACCTTAAAAGAGCAGTTCGTGACAGACAGCCCAGAAATCTCAAAGAACTGGAAGACTTTTGTAAGGAAGAATGGGCAAAGATACCTCAAACAAGAATTGAAAGACTCTTGGCTGGCTACAAAAAGCGTTTACAAGCTGTGATACTTGCCAAAGGGGGCAGTACAAGATATTAACTCTGCAGGGTGCCCAGACTTTTGCAGACGCCATTTTTTTGTTTTCTGTTATTTTGAAAGTGTAAATGATGGAAATAAAATCTAACTTTTGTTGACATATTATAAGAATGTCTAATCTGTAATTTGATGCCTTTTGGAGATTTTTCCATCTTTCCTTGGCTTCTTTATGCACATTAATACAATTTTTTAGCTGGGGTGCCCAAACTTTCGATCCCCACTGTATGTAAGGGTTTACAACCACTTTAAGGCTCGGTTCACGCTGCCACAACTTGGGATCCTATTTGTGAGACCCCAAGTTGCATGACATGTGAAATCCCATGTTAGTCAATGAGAGCTGTCTGAACTACTGAAGTGGCTCCAACTTTAGATAAGGTTCCTGTACTACTTCAAGGCGACTTCTATCTGACTTGTGCCAATAGACTTTATTAGAAGTCACCTCCAAGTCAGATCCTCTTCTATATTGTTGTGATTTGGATCCGACATTACAGGAAGATTACCCAGGCATTCCATGAAAGTTGCTTCAGAGTCACTTCAAAGTAGTACTCAAGTTGCCTGGCAGTCGCACTGCAAGTCATGCGACTTTCAGGTAGCAGTAGTGCGAACCAAGACTAAATGAAAGTGAATCTGGGAATGTAATCAGAACATACTACTAGGAGTAATGCAAGACACATGGCTGGGTTTGGTTCACTAGCATCTTTTGCAAGTTTGAAGATCTTCAGTTTTGGGTGTCCTTATTTATGTTTGAAAATATAATGTACATTACAAATCTAGTGCAGGTTATCTGTAAATGCTAAGCAATACTTTTTTGTTTTAAGGAATGTTAAATGATGTTATTTGTGTGCCATTGGAAGAGTTAGGGCCATTTATTTTAGACTGCCAGTGTCTAGCTTGTTGCCCTCTACTGCTGTCTACTATTCTTTGTGTCTGTAAAGATGTCCTCTGGTGTCCAATGACAGTCACAGCCATATAAAAGCAGTGACAGATTTTCTTGGCAGCTCTTTGGTACAATGTGTTTGCTCAGGAAATCATAAATTACGCCAGTTATTTCAGTATCTGTAAAGAGATAATAAAAGCAGTCTGGAAACACCAATAAGCCTTTGCATGTGAACATCGTATCAGCTCTGGGTTTGTAATTACAGGTGGAATTTGATTGCATAAATGAGAAGAAGAGACAGAAGAAGAAAAAATTACAGGAATTCTGGGGTCGTCATGTGAAACATTGTCAGGTTGGTAGATTGTCTCAAAAGTTTTGGAAACTACTGTATTTTTCACTCCATAAGACGCACCTGACAATAAGACGCACCTAGTTTTTAGAGGAGGAAAACAAAAAAAATATTCTATACCAATGTACTGCAGACATAGTACAGGAGATGACCAGAGACTGCGGACACAGTACAGGAGATGACCAGAGACTGCGGACACAGTACAGGAGATGACCAGAGACTGCGGACACAGTACAGGAGATGACCAGAGACTGCGGACACAGTACAGGGGATGACCAGAGACTGCGGACACAGTACAGGGGATGACCAGAGACTGCGGACACAGTACAGGAGATGACCAGAGACTGCGGACACAGTACAGGAGATGACCAGAGACTGCGGACACAGTACAGGAGATGACCAGAGACTGCGGACACAGTACAGGAGATGACCAGAGACTGCAGACCTTTGGGGAGCGGGTACCTGAATTTGACAGGTCCCCACTCTCACATGACAGGTCCCAGAAGACTACAGGGCCATTCACAAAGTGCATCGCTTCTCGAGCATGCGCAGTGGGCACCCAGCTGTGAAGCCACAAGTTTTTTTTATCAAGTTTATTACAGTCACAGAGGATCGCTTCGCTTGTGATACCATGGGCAGTGACAGGTACTCTTTACTGAGAGATCTGGCATCTATCGGTTTGATCAGATGCTTTGCCAGCTGGAAACGAATTGTAAACATTAAGCCGAATCCTTGTTGCTTCCAGTTTTCTTCATCACAGAAGGGAGTCGGGTATGGATGTACCCTCCTCCCCTCTCAGTTCATAAAGGCACAAAGCGGCGGTGATTTCGGGCTCCCTGATTGCAAAGGAGAGCCTGTTAAAGGCGGCAGAGGGGCCTCTCCTGCTCCCTTTAGAAGTGGTTGGTTGGCTGTAGAGCCACTCGGGATCATGTCTACATTAAAGCCCATCGCTGGCTGAAAATTATGGTGCCAGGATCAGCTGCAGCTACGAACCGTACAGCCATTTAAACCCGAGGATGTACCTGTACGTTCTAATGGCATGAAATGTTTAAAGCAAGCCTTCATTCACCTCAGTAGCTATAGGTATTGTGGAGAAATCTTCAAAGTTCTTAACAGAGGCAAAGCAAGATGTTATGTTGCACACCAGGGGTGGACTGACCATTTGGAAACTCGGGCACTGCCCGCGGGCCCGGGGTCAGTAGGGGTCCCCATGAGATGCCCCTGGTACCTTTTTCATAGGCTTTTTTGAGTGTGGGCAAGGACACAGGGGCCCCATGATCCCCTATTGCCTGGGGGCCCCATGAGTTGTCAGTCCGCCCCTGTTGCACACAAATCTTGGCATCTTGTGCTCTTTAAACACATAGCAGTTGTGGTCATTCTAAGCTGTTAAACAGACTTAAGAGTTTTTGTTGTGATCTTTGAGGATCTTTAAAGCCAGCCCCAACTGGGATGACTCCTTTTACAGCCACTTTGCTGATGGGTAAGTATATTTAATAATTTAATGTAAATAGTCTGCACACAGATGTGAACCATTGTACATAATATGTGATTATGACACTGTCCAGCAGATGGCAGATTCTGCTAGCCAGAATTGGTTTCTTATCTCTTCTAGTTAATGTTTTTTGTAAACTGCAAAAATTATTTACCGGTACATTATTTTATTTTAATCTTTTAAATTGTCTTTTTGATATTTATATATTGATTGTTTTCTTCAAGATCACCATAGAATACACCTTCCTGGATTTTATAATGGGTGGATGTCAGATGAATTTTGTTGTAAGTATTCAATCCTTTTTTTTTTTTTTTTATTATTTCTCTTTTTGATACAAAACTTCTTTTTTGTCTGCATTTACTTTACATAAGCTACAGGATCTTCCAGGTAAAGTCAGTAAGTTTGGATCAATATAAGTGATGTCCGTGAGTTGAGAAAGTGAATTTTCCCTAGAATAAGGATAGACTGACAGCGGTCACCTGAGAATTTTGTTTTCTTGAGCAACGCTCTTAAAAGGAACCTGGCAGAATAGAATAATTGGAGCTGCTGTTTTTGAAGGTGAATGCTTTTAGGCTGTCATCCTTATCCTTTTTTCACTACATGAAGAGTTACTGGACTGTGACAGGTTTCTGTGTGCCAGGTGTTTCATCACATTACTAGTTAGCTGCTTATTATGAGTCAGATTAATTAAAATGGTTGTAAAGGCTCCAGGTTTTTTACCTTCATGAATTTTATGCATGAAGGTAAAAACACCTTTTCTGTGCAGCATCCCCCCCCCCCCAATACTCACCTAAGCCCTTCTCGATCCAGCAAGGTGCACTGGAGTATCAGCTATCCCCGGACTCCCTCTCTTCATTGGCTGAGACAGAAGCTATTGCCTCCCACTGCTGTCAGCCATAGCCAGTGAGAAGAGAGAGGGCTCGCAGAGCCATGTGTGAATAGACACATGGAGCAGTGGGTGCCCCCATAGTAAGCTGCTTGCTTTGGGGGCACCTGACAGGAGGGAAGGGCCAGAAGCGCTGGCAGGGGACCCGAGAAGAGAAGGATCTGGGCTGCTCTGTGCAAAACCACAGCACACAGTAGGTAAGTATCAATATGTTTTTGTTATAATTTTATTTTATTTTTTTAAATCAAGCCTTGAGAACCACTTTAACCAGTAAAGCATGGACAGCAATAGCAGCTGCAGATTAGGGATGAACTCAGGTGGGTTCGGACACGAGTCTGAACCTGCCTGATGTATCCTGCCAGGAAGCTGTCAAAAATCACAGCCAGTCATAGCGGTGGAGGCATGCCCCTGCCCGCAGCCCCACATATGCAAGGGGTGGCAAAATGCATCTGCTGGCCATGATTAGTTGTCCACTTTGACAGCTTCCTGCCGGGATAGCTTAGATGGGTTCAGTTAGACTCATGTGAACACGCCTGAGCTCGTCCCTGGTGCAGATCATGTGTGTTCAAAAACAAGTCAAGCATTGCAGCTTTCATTTGTTTATTCCTTTAAACCAGTGTTTCTCAATTTTTTTTTCAGTCAAGGCACCCTTTAAGATTATGGACAGTCCCGAGGCACCCTTTAAGATTATGGACAGTCCCGAGGCACCCTTTAAGATTATGGACAGTCCCGAGGCACCCTTTAAGATTATGGACAGTCCCGAGGCACCCTTTAAGATTATGGACAGTCCCGAGGCACCCTTTAAAATTATGGACAGTCCCGAGGCACCCTTTAAAATTATGGACAGTCCCAAGCACCCTTTAAGATTATGGACAGTCCCGAGGCACCCTTTAAAATTATGGACAGTCCCAAGACACCCTTTAAGATTATGGACAGTCCCGCGGCACCCTTTAAGATTATGGACAGTCCCGCGGCACCCTTTAAGATTATGGACAGTCCCGCGGCACCCTTTAAGATTATGGACAGTCCCGAGGCACCCTTTAAGATTATGGACAGTCCCGCGGCACCCTTTAAGATTATGGACAGTCCCGCGGCACCCTTTAAGATTATGGACAGTCCCGCGGCACCCTTTAAGATTATGGACAGTCCCGCGGCACCCTTTAAGATTATGGACAGTCCCGCGGCACCCTTTAAGATTATGGACAGTCCCGAGGCACCCTTTAAGATTATGGACAGTCCCGAGGCACCCTTTAAAATTATGGACAGTCCCGAGGCACCCTTTAAGATTATGGACAGTCCCGAGGCACCCCCCTTTAAGATTATGGACAGTCCCGAGGCACCCTTTAAAATTATGGACAGTACCGAGGCACCCTTTAAGATTATGGACAGTCCCGAGGCACCCTTTAAGATTATGGACAGTCCCGAGGCACCCTTTAAGATTATGGACAGTCCCGAGGCACCCTTTAAGATTATGGACAGTCCCGAGGCACCCTTTAAGATTATGGACAGTCCCGAGGCACCCTTTAAGATTATGGACAGTCCCGAGGCACCCTTTAAGATTATGGACAGTCCCGAGGCACCCTTTAAGATTATGGACAGTCCCGAGGCACCCTTTAAGATTATGGACAGTCCCGCGGCACCCTTTAAGATTATGGACAGTCCCGCGGCACCCTTTAAGATTATGGACAGTCCCGAGGCACCCTTTAAGATTATGGACAGTCCCGAGGCACCCTTTAAAATTATGGACAGTCCCGAGGCACCCTTTAAGATTATGGACAGTCCCGAGGCACCCTTTAAGATTATGGACAGTCCCGAGGCACCCTTTAAAATTATGGACAGTACCGAGGCACCCTTTAAGATTATGGACAGTCCCGAGGCACCCTTTAAGATTATGGACAGTCCCGAGGCACCCTTTAAGATTATGGACAGTCCCGAGGCACCCTTTAAGATTATGGACAGTCCCGAGGCACCCTTTAAGATTATGGACAGTCCCGAGGCACCCTTTAAGATTATGGACAGTCCCGAGGCACCCTTTAAGATTATGGACAGTCCCGAGGCACCCTTTAAGATTATGGACAGTCCCGAGGCACCCTTTAAGATTATGGACAATCCCGAGGCACCCTTTAAAATTCTGCACCACATTCTAAAATGTAAAAATACCTATTTTAATAGTTGTACATAATGCAGCATCATCCACACATGTAGGACACCCAATGTCAGAGGTGATTTATTTTTCCAAAGCCAATACATCTTTGCATATTGGTACTGACTAGTATTCCATTTTTTCTCTTCTACTTCAGTTTCTCTCTCTCACTCAGCTAATGTGACCCCAGTGCTGACAGACAGGGGCAGGGAAGGGGCAAACAAAGATGCTCTGCAGGCACCCAACATCTTCCTTATCAACTGATGATGTCATTGGTTGTTCGGATGCTGGCAGCTAGAAGTTCATAAGAATGCACAATGAAAACCTGTGGCTTTGTGCACTAAAAGGAAGGCTTGATCCACCTGCTGGCATGTATACAATTTTTGGCAGTTTTTGAGGCATTTTGCCACAGCACCCTGGTTGAAAAAGGCTGCTTTATACTATAGGAACATTTAATTTGGCTTCAAACTGTATCTGTTGAAACAGAACGGTTCAGATGTAGACTGGTGTAAACTGAATAGAACTGAACCAATATTAACCGATGTAATTTGAACTGAATTGAACTAATATAAACTGAAATGAAGTGCAAACTGATATAAAGTGAACTGAACTGAAGATGGATGTGCAAACACCCACAGAAACTTATTATGGCCCTACTTTATCAGTGCCCACTGAAGCCTCACAGTCTGCTGCATAGACAATAAAATTAAAAAAATAAGCATCTGAATCTTATTGGTGTGTGTAAGGGGGGGGGGGGGGGAATATAAACCGTCAAAGACAATTCTTCTCTTGAAGTATAATTAAAGGAATATCCTTTTCTGGCTTTGGATAGAGTATAGAGATTAGAACACCTGTCAGATTTTTATTGCTGTCTGTGCCCCGTTAGGGATATTCTCCCTGTCTATTTCTCTTGTTTATCTGGATCATCGAGTGTGACAATCACCAGAACAAGATTAGATGGGAAATCCTCCAATGGAGACACTAGTTCTGGTCACAACCAGGGATTCCCTTACTTTGCAGGGATTTCATCTCCTCGCACTTTTTGCTTTGGCTATGGGACACAAGTCAAAGGAAATCTCCCCAATGGGACACAGATGGCAGGAAGATAACTGAGAGAGGTTCTCACCCTATCCAAAATGCTTTTACCCTTTAATTCTACTTTAAATATTATGTAAGGCTCAGCAATGTATTCTGCCTTCAGATGCACATACTGATTCTTTATTTTAATAAACTGTTCACATTGCTGTATCTTCTATTATAGGTTGGCATTGACTTTACTGGATCCAATGGTGACCCTCGCTCTCCCAACTCTCTGCACTTCATTAGTCCTAATGGTGTCAATGAATATCTGCATGCCATCTGGTCTGTAGGTTTGGTCATTCAGGATTATGACGCGTAAGCTCTTTATATTTTGAGTTTGCTCATTAAGACAGTGCAAAGATTTCAGCTCTCATTGTTTGGTTCCTAATGTTCTGTGGGAAGCTGTACTCTTGGGTGGGTGGTGGAGATTTATTTATTCTGCTGCACAGCAAGTCATTGCAAAACAGAAGCAGTGAGACATGATATGAGACAGAATTACTGTAGGAACTCGGCTTGATTCATGAACCCCTCCATCTGCTGATCAAAAGCAGGCATTATAAAACTTAGCCCAGGACACTTCCTAATTGGGCTTTAGGTGAAAAACTGTTGCAAATGAAGTGATAAATCTGTTGCAGATGTTTGCAAAACTAGAACAGTTGTCTGCTCAAGATTGTAGAAACATAAAACTGTCAGACAAATGGAAACCTGATTTGCACACATTATTATTCTGATTCTGTTTGTAGCTGCAGGATAAAGCTTTCTATTTTCATGTGGTTATTTTTGCTTTGCCAATCAAACTCGTGTATATGGTGCATGCATTACTTAATACACCTGAAATATGAAGTAGCAGGTAAGACTGAGCTCCAAGCGAGCAAGTAAGAAAAAAACCTTTTATTTATATATATATATATATATATATATATATATATATATATATATATATATATATATATATATATATATATATATATATGAGATAAATATTTTACCTGTAATGGGATTTATTGTCCTGTTCAGCCAGTTTTGTCATCCAGGCAATCTTGCCGTGCAATGCAGACAGCTCCTTGATCTCCTGTGCATGTGAGGCACAGCTTGGTCAACCATGTATTCCCAGCTTGCTGGTTGGACACTGCAACACAGCTAGGGGTCATTGCTTTGCCCTCTCCTCCTGTTAGCATGTTCACTGTGAGCACATGTGCTGTGCAGCTTTGCCTGACTGGCAATTAGTGCTGCTTTGCAAGGCATTGCAGGTGGCTGATATCAAGATTTATTAGGCACACTAGCACACTGTCTGTAGTTAGATACAATAAATATAATACATTAATAGGTGTTATTCATATCTGCCTGAAGTTATTTTTTTTAACTATATCAACCTCTTGCCACCCATATTATGCATATGTATGTGGCCAAAGATTGTGGGCTTTAATTGTGGGACCACGTGCCGCAAATATGCGGATACGTTTCTGTGCACAGTGACTGAGTTGCCATGGACAGCTCCAGATCTCTAGTAATGATTGGGAGCTGATAGGAACAGCTCACAACCATGTGACCACTGTGACAGGTACGAGGACATAACCAAACTCATGGCTGCTCTCCAGACTTGCTCTTTCATTCCACATGGACAACCCAGGTGCTGGCTACGAAAGCCCATCTCCACTCTCTGCCAAAAGTATACCTTGTTCATCCGAAACCAACTTTGCTTGGCTAGTTTCACCACTGCTGGCTTGCTCACAAGGATGAGGGAAGTCCTATCGCCATCCTTGTGAGTAAGCCAGCAGTGATAAAGCATATCAAGGAAGGTTGGTTTTTGGTAGAGACATCAATGTATGCAGTCTTTTTAATAAAAAAAAAACACAGAAAGAAGAGCCACATGCTGAAGTGCGGCTTATGTTTTTTACACTGACAGTCAATTACAGTGGTCACTTGATCAGGCCACCCACAGGCAAAAAGACCCTGTTAAAGGGACACCTGGACTTGGTGGGAAGGGGTTAATACATTTTCTGTTTCTTTGGAAAGAGCCCTTTTTTCCTCCTCTTGTGTTTCTAATTTGCACCCTTTTATTATTTAATATACAGTAGATTTGTGTGTCATGTTTTGAGTTTTACATGGTTTTCGGCCAGTATATTGCAGCGTGTAATGAATTTCCATTCTGGAAGTTGGCATTCATACCATAAAGCTGCTTTGTGTAACATTCTTCGTACAAACACTTCTTTGTTCCAATCTTCTGTGAAGAATGCAGCACTCCTGTGATGAGGAGACACAAAGGGGTTTGGGTTTTATGGCGAATTAGGTCATTTTTAAAGTGGACCTGTTATACAATCACATGAATTTTTAAGTGTTCTTGCATGGCAAGACCACTTACTGTTATCTCACATATATATTCTTATTATTATAGCCAAATTTACCACCCTAACTCCTCCCACAGTTTTTTTTACACTACATAGACAGTAATATACTGAAACGTGTGGATTGTTCCCGATTGGTGTGCTATTACTTTGAGGAACGTTTCACCGAATGGTTCACGAAATATCACTGTTTTTGTGGTGAAATTGGTCCCATAGGAATGAATGACGCAATGTTCAAAACTAGAGTGGGAGCTGAAAAATCAGGACATGATTTCTAAACTGCCATCACTCCCTCATTTTCAAGCCCACCTACACAAATCTTATATCAAAACGTTCTGCTATCCCTGCTACCACTAAAAATGTCCACGGCTAAGCCATAATCCTGATAGTTTTCACAATATGACCATTTGTTTGCAACTCACGCCTCCTATTGATATTCATTGAAACTCCACTCTAGCCACCTCAAATTTGAAGGGCAATTTCTAAACTGCGACTGTGCCTTTATTTTTAATATTTCAGCGACATACTATGCATCAAAATGTAGGTCTGGGCCTTGTGATTCTCACAATATAAAGCTCTTCAGTGTTGTCGGATTGATAATTTTTAAACTACAACCGTTTGAAGATGGCAACCGCCAGTGAAGTGAGCAAGTTGGAACCGCTCTTCTCTGCCCTTGCTGTAGAGTGAGTTGCCATAGGAACCCAGGTGTGTGAGCAGGCAGCAGAGTGACAATCCACTTCACCCAGTTACTCCGCCCACTCCAGTTGTAGACTACTGGTGGAGGCAAGAACACTTCACACAATTTCCCCAGAAATTGTAGCTTTTCTAGTTAATATTATTATTATTATTATACAGGATTTATATAGCGCCAACAGTTTGCTCAGCACTTTACAATACAAAGGGAGACAATACAGTTTAATCCAAGAGATATGAATGTAGAATGTAGCCAAAGACAACTGTTCTCATGTATGGCATGGCTGGATCTAGGGAGGTGCAAGGGTGGGCTACGCCCCCCCAGATTTCAGTCTCATCCCCAAAGCCAACAGCCGCCCTCCTCCACACTGGACATTGTGCCTTTCTGCTGAACTATTTCTCCAGACATCTGCATTTTCCCTGTCTATGCTGCTTTGTAAATACAGTGATGATCAGCTGTGCAGGGAGGGAGCCCAGCAGAGTGGGGGAGGCTGCCTATAACACTCCCCAGTCATCTAATCTGCTTAGGTTGTCCCACAGGGATCTACAATGACTCCCGAGACATCTGGAGTTGGTAGGCGGAGCCAGAGGTGTGGCTGTCTCCTCCACTCCTCCCACAGACCCCTTCACTGAGGTTGATCTGACAGCTGAAGAACAGCAAACTGGAGGAGGAAACTGTAGCCTGAGAGTCTTTGATTGCAAGCAATAAGGGTAACACCATGACACCACATACTGCCCTAGTCTAACACTCTACTGCCCTAACCTGCCACTACACTACACTACCCTAACCTGCCACTACACTGCCCTAACCTGCCACTACACTACCTTAACCTGCCACTACACTACCTTAACCTGCCACTACACTACCTTAGCCTGCCACAACACTACCCTAACCTGCCACAACACTGCCCTAACCTGCCACAACACTGCCCTAACCTGCCACAACACTGCCCTAACCTGCCACAACACTGCCCTAACCTGCCACAACACTGCCCTAACCTGCCACAACACTGCCCTAACCTGCCACTACACTGCCCTAACCTGCCACTAACACTGCCCTAACTTGCCACAACACTGCCCTAACCTGCCACAACACTGCCCTAACCTGCCACTACACTGCCCTAACCTGCCACTACACTGCCCTAACCTGCCACTACACTGCCCTAACCTGCCACTACACTGCCCTAACCTGCCACTACACTGCCTTAACCTGCCACTACACTGCCCTAACTTGTCACTACACTGCCCTAACCTGCCACCCACTGCCCTAACCTGCCAACTACACTGCCCTAACCTGCCACTACACACTACCTAACCTGCCACTACAGCACTGCCCTAACTTGTCACTACACTGCCCTAACCTGCCACTATACTGCACTAACCTGCAATTATACTGCCATTTTATCACTCACGCTAGACTGCCACTATACAGCCCTAACCTGCCACTATACTGTACTGAACCCTTCTTCAGCTCTACTGATCCCTGCACACTGCCCTACTGACCCCTCTCCTCTGCCCTGCAGTCCCTTGTACACTGCCTTACAAGCTAACGGTCTCTATAAACTTCTGACTCTAGCCTCTGCCCTGCTGACCCTCTGTACACTGCCTTGCTGACCCAACATCCTCTGCCCCCCTGACATTTTTTACTGCACCCCAACATCAGACAGGCTAGTTCCGGCCCTGTTGTATGGGCTGTACCTATAGTGACCTTCTTGTTATCTGTATAATCCTTCTGGCTTCACAGCTGGTGTCCTGCTGTGCATGTGTAAGGCACGCTGCGTTTTGTGAATGGTCCTGCAATCTTCTTGGACCTTCTGTGTCCCAGAAGGCTGCGGGGTGAAGGTGTTAAGGCTGAATATCACTGCAGCAATCTGAGTGGAAGTGGGAGTGGGTCCTGTCAAAACCAGGTTACTGTCCCCCCCCCCCCCCCCCCCCCCCCCCCCCCCCAAAAAAAAGTGCCAAATGGAGGGAGGATGCAAACAAGTGGAATGTCCCCTTTTTGGGTAAAAACATTTTTTTTTATTTCTGTCCATGATGCTGTTAGAGAGATTTTCCCTCACTTTCTGTCCTGGGGACAAGCTTTTTGTCAGAGAGCTTCCAATGGCAGTAAAACCTGGCAGGAGTTTTAACCCTTCCCCATTCTATCTAAAGCAAAAAAAAAAATTTTCTTGTAAAAATAATGTAGGCCTCAGTCGCATGCCAAATTCCCCAAATGCACTCTGTGTGAGTTTAGGGACCCGCACCTGCACCCACACAAATTGGGAGCAGTGGTTGTCTCCGTGCAGCCGCTGCATCTCAATTGATATCAATGGGACTGCCGGTAGGGGGGATGCACAGAACATTTGCGAATCCTTGTGCGGGTAAACATGGCTTTGCACAGGGGTACACATTGATGCGTTGCTATAGGGTGTTTATTTTTATAAAATCCAGAAATACCAGTAAAATTCATAAGTATTCTGTTTTTGCAGTGTTGCTCAATATTCTTATCAGTGGGCTTAGAAAGAGAATTTTAAAATGTTGGATTACAGCGCAAATTTATTAAAGCCAAAATGTTCCTAAATTGTGACAGCTTATATAGTTGAGTATACTTTATAAACCTAGGTTTATTTTGTTGTTTTCAGAGACAAGATGTTTCCAGCTTTTGGTTTTGGGGCCCAAATACCACCCACGGGACAGGTAACACAAACATTCATACACATTCTCTCAGTCTGTTTGTGTCGGTCTCTATCTATCCCCCATCTCTCTATCCCAGTGCTGTCCAAACTACGGCCCGGGGGCCAGATGCGGCCCTTTTCTTGACTCTCTCCGGTCCTTGGGACACTATTCCTCCCACTGACACCATTAATGGGCCACGATTCCTCCCACTGACTCCATCAATGGGGCACTATTCATCCTGCTAAGATCAATGATGGGGCACTACTCCTCCCACTGACATCGTCGATGAGGCACTATTCCTCCCATTGATACCAACTATGAGGCGCTATTCCTCCTGCTAAAACCAACAATGGGGCATTATTCTTCCTGTTAAAGCCAATGATGGGGCATTGTTTACTCTAAATGATGCCAAGACATTTTTTACTCACACTGGCCACAGTCCGGCCCCCCTAAATCCTGAAGGACAGTAAACTGGTCCTTTGTTTAAATATTTTGAGACCCCTGCTCTATTTCATTGTATTCTTTTTAATTCCCTGGTTCTCCCTTATCTCTGTATCTCTACCTCCATTCCTCCATATGTGTCTCTGATATTTACACAAACTCAAAATTTATATTTTTATATTGCTACAGTTATTCCATGTATTAAAGCCTATGTATATTTACATAAAAAAATCAGCATAATTGATATTACATGTGATGTGTCCCTTGTGCTAATGTTTCCAAGTTTTCGATGAAATCTTCCTCCAATGATACCCCCTCCACCCTGCTGCCATAATCTTCCAGTGTGGCGGGGGGTTTAACAGAGCTGAATGAAGCAAGATCTTTGAATAGAGGGTAGGACAATTGAAAGCTCCACCCCCTCCATCCATACATCTTGTTTTATTCATAGAGGTTGTAGTACTGGTTTCTATAAATGGAGTAGCTGGGCGGAAAGGGCAGGCATAGTTGGGCACTGTAATGAATGCCTGTTACAGCTCCATCAGTTCTGGTAACCTCCGCTGCACTGACAGAATACAGTGGGGGTTGGGGGGACATCAAAGAAGGACGATTTCTGCTAAACCAGTACACACAAACACAAGGGACACATATTGAAAGTAAGTAATATCCCTTGTGCTGATTTTGTTAATTTTTTTTTATTTAAGTAAACTTGAGCGTTAAGATAATCATAGCAGATTTCTGTTTAATGCTGGAATGCTGAAAATGTTGACAGTCCTTTATGATTCCTCATTGACCTAAACTCAAAGTGAAATTTTCTAGAAGTGTTAATTGTGCCTAAGCAGTAGCCAGTTGTTTAGAAATCTTCCAAAAAAGGTAGCATGTGAGAGCACCTAGGCCATCCTATACCTGCAATATCTGTAATACGAAATCATCTAAATCATAGCTGTCTCTAATTGCTAACCTCATCAAATTTGGTGATGTCACTACTATACTTCTCACTGTTTCCTTTGCTGGAGAGAAACCTGCATTGCAAGGATCCCCCTGCCTCTTTTTCATTCATTATGTGCCTCCTCTACCTCTGCTGCTGCTTCTTACAGTGACACCTTTATTTATTATTTCTTACAGTATACACCTTTATTTTTTAAATGAAATAAAATGATTTATACTTACTTGCTCTGTGCAAGAGTACTGCACAGCATGGTTTTTTATCGCCTCTTCTGGGGTCTCATGCCATGCATTTCCTGCTCCTCCTCTTCTGTGTGCCTCCATAGCAAGGCACTCGGGTGTTAGGGAGGAGGGAACAGTTAGTGGATTGTGTTTTTACCCTAATGCAGGGAATGCATTAAGGTGAAAACCCTTTAGAGTTTAGAACAACTTTAAATATTTCCCCAACCATCATCAGGTCACCAGTCATTAGGAAGTGCACTGACCTGAAGTAGCAAAGCCCTCATCCAAGATGGCTACCTCTACAAAGAGACACAATGTAGAACAAGGCATGATAAGTCTGTTATGGATAATAGAGTAGCTTCAGGGAAACACCAGGCAATACTGGTGACTATTCCTTTGTCATCTACTTGCCTTTTTTGGCACAACGTCCACAGTACCGGTTCGGTTTAAGCAGAAATAAGCAGGCATTGCAGATCAAAATAGTAAAGGGCCAGGTCTGTCTTTGAATGTCTTTTTTTCAGATTGGGGTGATTGCAAAGGATTGGCCTTTTAGTTATGGTAAGGTTCAGGTGTATTTATATCAGACAGTCCCTATTCACATACCTGGACCAGCTCCCCCTTCTCTTAAAGACTGGCTGTCTTTATGCTGGCTATCATGCTGTTCATGTTAGATATTCACCATTGTAGGTCTCTTCTGCAAGCCAGTGTTACAATAATCATGTATGCAACATGATTTCTGCAACTATTCTTATTAATATAGTGTTTTTCCTCTTATTTCAGGTTTCACATGAGTTCCCAATAAACTTCAACCCATCAAATCCTTACTGTGCTGGTAAGAACTAATAACTGTATTAGCTGTGAATGAATATATACACTGCTCAAAAAAAGGAACACTTTTTAATTAGAGTATAGCATCAAGTCAATTAAACTCCTGGGATATTGATCTGGTCAGTTAAGTAGCAGAGGGGGTTGTTAATCAGTTTCAGCTGCTTTTGGTGTTAATGAAATTAACAACAGATGCACTAGATGGGCAACAATGAGACAACCCCCAAAATGGGAATGGTTTTACAGGTGGAGGCCATTGACATTTTTTCCTTATTCATCTTTTCTGACTGTTTTTTACTAGTTTTGCATTTGGCTAAGGTCAGTGTCACTACTGGTAGCATGAAGCGGTTCCTGGACCCTACAGAGGTTGCACAGGCAGTCAAACTCCTCCAGGAAGGCACATCAATACGTGCCATTGCCAGAAGGTTTGCGGTGTCTCCCAGCACAGTCTCAAGAGCATGGAGGTGATTCTAGAAGACAGGCAGTTACTCTAGGAAAGCTGGACAGGGCCGTAGAAGGTCCTTAACCCATCAGCAGGACCAGTATCTGCTCCTTTGTGCAAAGAGGAACAGGATGAGCACTGAAAAATGACCTCCAGCAGGCCACTGGAGTTAATGTCTCTGACCAAACAATCAGAAACAGACTTCATGAGGGTGGCCTGAGGGCCCGACATCCTCTAGTGGGCTCTGTGCTCACTGCCCGCCACCATAGAGCTCAATTGGCATTTGCCATTGAACACCAGAATTGGCAGGTACACCGCTGGCCCTGTGCTTTTCACAGATGAGAACAGGTTCACCCTGAGCACATGTGACACACTTGAAATGGTCTGGAGAAGCCATGGAGAACGTTATGCTGCCTGTAACATTGTTCATTATGACCGTTTTGTTGGTTGGTCAGTGATGGTCTGGGGAGGCATATCCACGGAGGGACGCACAGACCTCTAGAGACTAGACAATGGTACCCTGACTGCCGTTTGGTATTGGGATGAAATGCTTGAACCCATTGTCAGACCCTACGCTGGTGCAGTGGGTTCTCGGTTTCTCCTGGTGCACGACAATGCCCGGCCTCATGTGGCAAGAGTATGCAGGCAGTTCCCGGAGGATGAAGGAATTGATACCACTGAATGGCCCTCACGCTTACCTGACCTAAATCCAATAGAACACCTCTGGGATATCCTGCTTCGGTCCATCTGACGCCGCCAGGTTGCACCTCAGACTGTCAAGGAGCTCAGTGATGCCCTGGTTCAGATTTAGGAGGACACCCAGAAACAGACACTCCAGAAAACCATCTGTCATGTCATTAGGAGCATGTCCCAACAGGCTTGTATACAAGCACGTGGGTGCTATAAAACTACTGAGTACCATTTTGAGTTCCTGCAATAAAATTTCAGCAAAATGTACTAGCCTGCTGCATCATTTTTTTCACCTTGATTTTTGGGGTGTCTTTGAATTCAGTCCTCTGTAGGTTCATCATTTTCATTTCCATCAAATGACGGGGCATCCTTACGTTCCTAACACATTACCCAGTCCATATCAGTATAGACATCCAGCATGATGTTTTTCCCCATTGAGATCTTATGTTTTTCCAAAGTGTTCCTTTAATTTATTTGAGCAGTGTATATGCCAATAAGCCAAAACTTCGTGACCACTGACTGGTTAAGAGAATAATACTGAATATTTTGTTACAATGCCATCTGAAAGTGGGTGGGATATAATAGGAAGCAAAGTGAATGGATTGTCTCTGAAGTTGATGTGTTGAAAGCCAAAAAAGTGGGTTTTGCACTTTGTTGTCTATGGGGTTGCATAGCCACAGACCGGTCTAAATGATCATGCTGACCTGTGACCACAGCCAAAATCGCCTATTATGGGCACCTGAGCATTATTAGAACTGGATCACGAAGCAATGACAGAAGGTGGCCTGGTCTGTTTCATTTTGCTTTGTGTGGATAGCTGAGAAGGGGGAGGAGATGGCACAAGTATGCAGCATAAGAGGGCAAGCTGACAGGTGTGATGCTTTGGACAGTGTTCTGCTGGGAAACCTTGGGTCATGCCATTCATGCGGATGTTACTTGAGACATTCCACCTACCTATACATTGTTGTTGACCAAGTACACCCCTTCATGGAAACGGTTTTCCTGATGGCCGTGGCCTCCTTCAGCAGGATAGTGACACACTGCAAAAAGAGTTTTTAAGAATGGTTTGAGGAACACAACAATGAGTTTGAGGTGTTGACTCCAGATGTCAATTCATTGTGCATCTCTGGGGTGAGCCAGAAAAACAAGTCCAATCCATAGAAGCCCCACCTTGCAATTTACAGGACTTAAAGGATCTGTTACTGATGGTCTGATGGCAGATACCACAGTATACCTTCAGAGGTCTAATGGTGTCCATGCCTTAATGGGACATAGCTGTTTTGGCAGCAAAAGGTGCTGTTTTGGTTGCAAAAGGGAGACCTACTCAATATTGGGTGAGTCATTATAATGTCTGCACCTCCCATCACTTGTACGGGTATCACAAGTACAGGAAGTTGGTGGAAGATCTCCCCAATGGGGTACAGATAGAAAGAAAAACCTGAAAGAAAGTTTAAATTGTCTGTTTAGCCACTATTGTTATGATTAGTGATAGTCGAATTCTATTCTTTTTATTTAGCTCAACATATCTATGTTGAGATCTGTCTGATGTGTGGGAAACTACACAGCTTGCTTTCAAGAAGTCATGGGTCTTGGGTAGAACTTACAAAAATGTTCAAGCATATATTATGGGGAATCCGTTTTCAAAATTTGCCTGATGGTCAAAAACATTTTCTCATCTGTAGGTATGATGATTTAGGTCCTGTGTGAACTAGTTCACTCCAGTTTGTGATTTATTGAGTAACACTGAAAGCCACCATTGGATATTTATGCATTCATTCCCATATTGTGTATGCTGTTGGTTGAAGTGTTCTAATGACATACAGCGCCTTCAAAAAGTATTCAAACCCTTGAAAGTTTTCATGTTTTATTAATTAGGAACCTGGATCACAGTGGAATGCATCTTGTTTTTTTCCCCTGATCAACAGAAATATTCTTTCATTTCATATTGAAAACAGATCTCTGCAAATAAATTTACTAAAAAAAAAATCCCTTTAAAGTTAGTATTTAGCTGATGCACCTGTGTGGATAGGTTTCTGTCAGCTTTGTATATCCAGATGCTCCAGGGTTTCCCCATTCCACTTTGTAAAACAGCTTCTCGTCAGATCTTTTTTTAATTTTTTTTCACCCAGCAACAACTTTTCTATTGGAATGAGATCTTGACTTTGGCATTCCATGGCATTAGCTTTGTTATATTAATGCTTGGGGTCATTGTCTAGCTAGTAAATAAATCTTCTCCATAGGCATAGATTTCTTGCGCACTGTGTCAGGTTTTCCTCCAGTACTTCTTGCTGTGTTCATTCTAGTTTCACAAAGCTTTCAATGCCTGCTGCAGAAAAGTCTCCCCACTGCATAATGATGCCACTACCATGCTTCATGGTGGAGATATTGTATTTAGAGTGATGTGCATTGTTTGGTCCGATGGTCAAAAAGCTCAATACAATAGATTTTAGGCTTAGTTAGAATTTGACTGGAATTCTACTTTAAGCACTGTGGGTTTCTGGTTTCTTGCTAGTTTATATAATTTGGATGTATAAAGAACAACCAAAAACTATATAGTGTTAGCCAGCAGTTAAAAAAACAAAACATTGGAAAGAGCAAGCAGAGCTTCAGTGAAAGCTTGTGGTTTTCCTTTTTGGATAGCTTGGTTAGAACATCTACAAGGTTTTTAGTGTTTGTGTCCACATTGAGAATTTTACTAACTTTTTGTCCCAATGGCCTAAGAAAAAGTAAGAGGAACTTCTCAGAGACATGAACTGCAAAAAAAGCTTCAGAAGTTCTAACCTTTCTCACTGTACAAAAAAATTGATGTCTGTGATTTGATTGCTTGAGTCTGCTAACTTCCTGTCCCATTGACCACACAGGAAAATATCACCCCAGTGGGAACACATGCAGCCATATAAATCTGGCAAAGCTTTTAGCCCTTCTAGATGCCATCAAAAACTGAAATGTTGGCTGAAGTTCCATTTCAGTATCATGGTGCAGAGACCATTTTTGTGCAGCACAGGACCAAACAAATCTGTGGGCTGTTAAGAGAAGTGCTGATTGGTTGTTGCAGTTAACCACTTCACTGGGCTTTTCAAGCAATCCATATAGTTTATTTTTCTTGTTCCGCAACATATGTATGAATATGTGTTGGCAGCCATATAGGCTCCCATTCTTTGGAACAGATTCTTCCATACTGAACTACTTCAACCAGAGCTTCTGGAGAGCAATTCTATAGATTATCTCCACTGGAAATGTATTTTATTCTCTATAGTATCTGTAACTAAGATTTATTTTCTTCCTTTTTCTTGCAGGAGTTGAGGGGATAGTAGATGCGTATCGCAGCTGTCTTCCTCAAGTTAAACTGTACGGCCCAACCAACTTTTCTCCAATTATTAACCACGTCGCTGCATTTGCTGCAGCTGCAACTCAGCAAAAGACTGCTTCTGTAAGTAAGCCTTTCTAGATGCTTAGTTGACAAAGGTGGATCATGAATGCTTGCTGTTAGTTATATTAGTAGTAATATTATATATTTTTCTTTTTTACTTTGTTTGCTGCATATGTGCTATTATAAGCTTTCAAGAGCCTCTTAACTATCTAGAACAGCCTTTCTCGACTTTTTTTTTATCATAGAGGATCCCTTGATATAATTTTTAGGTCTCAGGAAACCCTGCTATAATGAATTGGAGGTCAGTGGGGAGAATGCACCTCTTACCGTGGTGGTCAGGACACCACACTTACAGGCAACTAAAAAAGCTAATTGGTATCATGCTGCTGACTCTGCCAAATGGTGTTGGACCTGGAACTATGCAAACACTATCAGATGGGAAGTCAATCAACCAAGCTCTAGGAACCCCTAGCAACATCTGGAGGAACCCCAGGGTTCCACAGAACCTTGGTTGAAAATGGCTGATCTAGAAAATGTGAAGCGCTTTGTAAATGGGAGAGAGGTTGGTGGTGTAACAAAATCTGAGAAATTAGAAGATTTTAAGTTGAAGGAAACAACACTACTTAAAGGGTCAGTCCATCCAAATGGTGGTATTTTAGCTAAAAGTGGAGCTAAGTTGAGTCAGCCCTAATTTTTATATCTTTGATATTCCAACAGCGAGATCTCCCCACTATAATTCCTAGCACTGTTCCTATCCACCTGAGAATTTTTGTTGTACCTGCATGGCTTGGTGTATTGCAGCACCTGGTGTTGCACTTTCCATAATATAGAATAAACAAACAATCCAGCATGTCATGTGGTTTAACTCTCTAGAATCTATGAAAAGCAGACATAAGTGATTTTGGGTAGACTGACTCTTTAAATCAAGAAATTATAAGCCATTTATTCAGGGGACACTTTAACAAGCAGTAGATGGGTGTAGATTAAATCATACCATCAAAGCACAGAGATACAAAGATTACCATGCGGAAACCTTCTTTTGGCTGTGCCACAATACCGGGTGTTATGATAAGCTGCTGCAGATGTATTTTGGAAGTTGGTAGTTTATAGTGTTGTTTTATATCTTTTCATTACATATAATGTTAACATATACACTCACCTGTTCAATTACTTGGTAACACAAATTACTAATCGCCCAATCACATGGCAGCAACTCAATGCATTTAGGAATGTAGACATGGTGAAGATGACTTTCTGAAGTTCAAACCAAGCATCAGAATGGGGAAGAAAGGGGATTTAAGTGACTTTGAATGTGACATGGTTGTTGGTGCCAGCCAGGCTGGTCTGAGTATTTCAAAAAATGCTGATCTACTGGGATTTTCATGCACAACCATCTCCAGCGTTTACAGCGAATGGTCCGAAAAAGAGAAGATATCCAGTGTCCAGTGAGTGGCAATTGTGTTGACAAACATCCCATGTTGATGTCAGAAGAGAATGGGCACACTGGTTCAAGGTGATAGAAAGGCAACAGTAACTGAAATAACTACTTGTTACAACCAAGGTATATAGAATACTATCTCTGAATGCACAACATATTGAATCTTGAAGCAGATGGGCTATAGCAGCAGAAGACCACACCGGGTGCCACTCCTGTCAGCTAAGAAAAATTGGACAATAGAAGATTGAAAAAACATTGCCTGGTGTGATGAGTCTCACTTTTCCAAGAGATGGTTGTGTGTGAAAATGCCAGTAGATCAGCAGACCAGCCCATCTAGCACCAACAACCATGCCACATTCAAAGTCACGTCGATTTTTAACTTCAGCAAGTTGTCTTCACCACGTCTACATGCCTAATTGCATTGAGTTGCTGTTTTGTGATTGGCTGTTTAGCAATTTGTGTTACCAAGTAATTGAACAAGTGTACCTAATAAAGTGGCCAGTGAGTGTGTAATGTTGTAACTGATCATATACAACCTCACAATCTTTTAGTTTTCTTATTGAAAAAGTTGTTCACATTTAATCTAATTTTTTTTTTTGGTAGCAATACTTTGTCCTGCTGATTATCACTGATGGGGTGATAACAGATCTTGATCAGACGCGACATGCCATTGTTAATGCTGCCAAGCTTCCGATGTCCATCATCATAATTGGCGTGGGAGGGGCCGACTTCAGTGCCATGGAGTTTCTGGATGGTGACAATGGAGGTCTCCGATCACCTACTGGAGAGATGGCGATAAGAGACATTGTGCAGTTTGTGCCATTCAGGAAGTTTGCACAGGTCTGTGAATTGTTTTTTTTCTTAAAAATACTTTATCTTAGGGAAAAAAAAAAAAACAAGCTTTAGTGTCACTTTAAATTTAACAAACACGTCTATACTTACCTGCTCTGTGCAGTGATTTTGCACAGAGTAGCCCCATTCCTTTTCTTTTCGGGTCCCTTCCGGCGTTCCTGGCTCCTGGAAAGCCACTCGCCCTGGGGGAACCTCTGCATTCTCATCCCCAAGCTGCTGCTCTACGTGTCCATAAGACACATAAAGCCGTGGCTTCCCCCCCTCGTTCTCTCCTTATTGGCTCACTGGCTTTGATTGATAGCAACGGGAGCCAGTGGACTCCCGTTGCTGTCTCAGCCAATGAGGGGGAAGAGTCCCCAGTCAGCAGCGTCTGTCGAGAACATCGCTGGATTGGTGGGGGCTCAGGTAAAGATTGGGGAGTGTGGGGGCTGCTGCACACAGAATGTTTTTTACCTTCATGCATAGAGTGAAGGTAAAAAGCTTGAGACTTTACAACCACTTTAAAGATGAACTCCAGGTACCATTACTTAAAGATGCTGAGATGTGTGTTGATCCACTTACCTCTACTCAACACTGGTGTTGCAGTTATAACTGACATTTGTCCTAGTGTTTTATGCTTATGCTTTGCGGCTAACAAAACACTCAACCGCATTTATCATGGGCTGCTTTTGTGATTTAACAAAGTGTGTGGAGGTAACTATATCATAAGATATCTGAACATATAAAAATTATAATTCCTGAAGTTCCAAGCAGTCATGTGACCTCAAAACTCCAGCGAATGTGTCTGTCTATGGAAGGCTAATGTCAATATTCCCATCACACACATTTCCAGTCATGGGCTCGACAGTAGCAGGTGCTGCAGCAATTACCAGTTGGAAACTGGAATCATCACAGATTAATGCACATATTTGCAGCATACTATGGATCATCAGATGTCACCCAAAACTTTTATTGCAGAAAGATCACATCACAAAGGACCAAGTACAACATTTTGGAGCCTCCCAGAAACCTGCTCAGCTCCGAAATGTTGCACTTGATTGTTTGTGATGTGATCTTTCTGCAATTAAAGTTAAAATTAAACATCTGACGATCCATAATATCTATGGAAAGCTGACAACACCACTGAATCCTTAGAACACTGATGTCATCCCACTGGCATCCATAGCTGTAAGGCATTGCTGGCCCCAAAAGAATTTAAGCCCACTAACTGCTCCAGCCATACACAGCTGTACTTGCTGGAGACTTTGTAGTCATGTGACTGCTTAAAAAAAAGTTTTACTTTTTATTTTAAAAGGTCTTCTTCTACATTAAGATCTTTCAGCCACAAATAATTGTTGTAAATACATTAGCAAAGTTAAAAAAAAATGCAAACAAGTTTATTGCATGTATAAACCATTTTCACTTTAGTCCAGCAGTGGGAATTCAGTCAGCTGGTATTCAGAAAAAAAAAAAACTTTAAGGTTCGAACCATACTTTGCGTTGAGGTGATGCACATTGCACATGTCTCTATGATGCTGTGCCATTCACCACAATTTCCTGGTGCATTCTTGCACATCTTCCCAATGCAACTGCATTGTGGTGCAGTAGGGTGTTGCGTATAAGGGATTTGTTGGACATGCTGAAGTCCAAATGTTAGTTGCCTGGATTTCTGTAGCTTCAGAACATAGACTTACTGCTCTGAAATAAGCATGATACAAGTGAAATTGCTGAAATTTGAATTGTTATATTGCCCTTTCTGCCTCTCAGAAACCTCATTCTTCTCTTCTGATTTTAGGCTCCCAAGGAAGCCCTCGCTCAAAGTGTTTTGGCTGAGGTTCCCCAGCAAGTTGTCTCTTACTTCAGCATGTACAAACTAAAGCCTCCCAACGATCCAGCAGCTAATTAAAAAAATAAGAGTTTGCCAAAAATCACTATTTCAATACTGAGTGCATGTTTTATTACATTTCATAGACCAGGACTGGACAAATCCCAAAGTGCTAAAAAAAAAATTACAGCAGGCTTCTAAAATCTACAACATAACAGATGAGCTGTGCTGCCGACACCGCAAGGGGTCTTCCCTTACCTTTACTGCATTTTTACTGCTGCCTCAATCTGCTGTCAGAGTTTCCCACAATTCCTGTACATGTTTTTCTAGTCAAAGCTCTAGGTATATTCCCCCATCTGACAACACTTTCGGCCTGGTGATAGGTCTCTCAGGCTTTGAACGCTGATTTATGGAAGGCAAGGAGCAGTGTCTGTGTGCCCCCCTATCCCACTTACAAGCACTAGTTGTTTCTTGGGGCTCTGACAGCAAATTGGACACCAAAACACAGCACAGCATGACTGTGTTGAACGCATTCGACTTCATTTGAATGGAAAATGGAGCATTTGACAAGAAAAGGCTCCATTTTATCTGCTTTGCCTACAGGTCAAACTCAAGTTAACAGGATATTTTACTATCAAACTGCAATGCAGGTCAAATGCAGCCTTTGAATTGTCATGTGAACTGCCTACTCAAAGTCAATAGGAATTTGCTGTCCTGTGTTTGAAATGTGTTGCAAAGAACACCCTTCAGCATGAACCCTTACCTTGGCATGCACAGACTCAGTTTAAGCCTTTAGCAATGCTGCATATACTGTTTATAATGTATCCTTTATACTTTTGTGTATATATTATTGCCTTATTGTAATATAGTTAAATATTCAAGTCATGTCTATCTTTCAAAGTTTTTATTTGCCAGCTGTAACAGGTTTCCAAATGTGTGTTGAAATACTCATGCCACAGCTACTGCGGTGCCTATAACTCTCAGATTCTCTTCATTAACATGCTGATCATAGGGAAGACCCATAGATGAATGTGTCCTTTATCACAGAAATGTTGTGTACAGTGCAGGGGTGTAATTGGAGGAATCTTGATTCATCTCCCATGGTTGGTCATTTCAGCATATATTGAACTAGACAGTTTAACATTGAGCTAAAGACTCAGGAGATTGCTCTTAATTCCACCTCAAATATCAACTGTCTGTTACTGTCTGCTGAGCAGATTTTACTGTGTATTCATTATCTGTTTATCTGTCCTTGTGAAAGTTACTGGGATACCAATGTCTAGCTCAGGTCTAGCTACTGAAACTGAGCAACTAAAAGCTCCAGCATGTCCTTCCAGTTCCAAATTTCATTTAAAGGGCTAATAAAAGCAAACTGAAACTGTTTGCCTGCAGAGTACACCTGGAATATTTAGCACATAAACTGTAGTTTAACACCAACTACAGCCAAACTTTATTTAGGTTTGGCTAGAAGTAGTAAGAAATATACTTGTGTCGAATTTTTATTTTTTGTGTGAGCGTCCCATTGAGGAATAAATGTTTGTGTCAATTTTTTATTTTTTTTGTGTGTGTGTCCTCTTGAGGACATTTAAATCTTACTTCCTACCCCTGTGCCAGCAGAACAATGAAAATAAGAGTTGCTTTGCCATGTTGTGCTTTTTGTAAAGCAGGATTCAAGTTAAAAATTAAAAGCCCATGAAAAAAAAGCTGCTGTTGCTGCATCTATAGTTCAGAGTTGTCTTCTGCAGTAATTTCTATCCTTCACTAGAGGTCGCCAATCTTCTGGGTTGAATGACAATCATCCTCATTCAACCCACTGTCTCCAAGCCCAGGCTGTCATGGTCATGCCTCTGAGGGTGGTATCACCACAGTAGCCTGGATTCACACATCATTATGTGACACCTTTTCTTTTAGTTATCCAAGTGTGTGTAGATTTTTTTTTTTTTTAAAATGCAGCTTAACTTTAATAGAAAAATTCAGTATCCCCTTTCACCTCCTAAGCTGAAGTAGCATCAGCTTTAATAAAGATTTCTCTTGTCACATTTAGGGGTGGAAATAACCCACCCCTAAAAATGCCATGTGTATAGTTCATACAATAGTATCTGGCAGGGCAGACGCTGTGTCAAGGTTTCAGGGTAGAGAATACGTTCATCTGCAAGTCATACTTCTATCTGTGCATTGCTGACAATCAGTCATTGTGTTTTTCTGTACAATGTATAGGTGCTTTTTTTTGTATTTTTTTTGTTATTTCCATTTTTCAGCCAAGTGAGAGAATGTTGTCTTTTCTACTTGACAGTTTTGACTGTTTCTGATATCTAATTCTAAGAAGCCTATAAGTTCAAGTCCCTGTTATAGGTAGTAAATCTAAAATGCTGTTTCTGGGAAAATGTGAGGCAGAAATAAATCCGCGACTTTTGCCTCCCCCTTGTGTCACGCCTCCTGTTCTTCTTCCCACTCACTTCTGTTGCAAAGAATTTACTCTAGAAAATGGAGTCCGATTTTAAGCAGTTATCCTAACCTGTTAAATCTTTTCTATTTCTGTACAGCTCAGTGTGCATCAGTTTTACTGGGACCATCTTTTCTGGATTCACAAATTTTTACAGTACTATACAGTATACTAGAATACTGGCACCTCTTTACCTTGACCACTAGGCATTGGGTTCTTGTTGCTTTTATAATCTATGTAAGCCTTCCAAAAAATCAACCTTTTTTGAGTAAACTGAACCTGCTAGCTAGAGGTTTTTTTGTGGTTCCTCCTCTTATATTTGTTAGCCAGATAGCTTCTTCTGTGCCCACCTCTGCCGCAGTGATTCTGGTTTGCTCTGTTGCTAAGGACTATGTCACACTTTTAATTCTATTATTGTCAACAACTCACCAGTGAAAAGATCCCTAAATAGTGCTGAGACATTGCCCACCTACATTTATGGCGTCATTCTCTCTTTGACGGATGAGCAAAATGTTTCCTCGCTGGTGTAAACACAGCAAAATGTCACTCTCCAGCCATTGAAGCATCACTTCAGTTACCGAGTCCTGTGAGAGAGTTATGCCACAGAAGTATGTACATATTTCTCTTCCTTGTAAAGCGATCCAGTTGATTGCAGGTGGTTGGCCACAGGATCACAAGTGGGAAATGGGCCCCAGAACTACTGTAGGTCCACTTGTCCACTGTCAGCCATAGCATTAAGTACACCTCATTGGCTCGTAAGGACTCTCCCATTGAACAGAGGGATCCTTGTGTAGGGGTGGGTGAGTGTGTATGCCATAATGGCTAAGTCCACCTTTCTGACCATGTTTCATGTTATATTCATATTTAGGGTGTACCATGGAACATTGTTACAGTCCCCCACTGCCGAACTGTCCCCCTCCTACAATGATAAGTCTCGGTGGCCAGTAAGCCAGAACTGGCATTTGAACATCCAGCTCACATCACAGAGCATTCTCAGCTGAGCAGGAGCTGAATGATCACAGATCAGGACACAGATTCACAGAAGATATTTTTCGCTAAACAAGGGGCACAGGTGTAGTGCACTAAATACTAAGGAGGGATTGTTTTAAGTTGTTTTTTTTTTTTTTTTTTTTTTTTTTTTTTTTTAGTTTTTTTGACACTGTGAAGGGCTGTAGAAACAGTCTGCAGGATCTTGTGCACTGCCGCTGCAATCCACTGATCCCCATTGCAATACTTTGCAGGCTCCAATGCTAGAAATGAATAAATGCACTTTTTTAAAATCAAAGTGGAGATATATATATATATATTTTTTTTTTTTTTTTTTTTTTTGCAAAAGATGGAATATGCCCTTAACCTCAAAGTTAGGAAAGCCAAGTCCTAAGTAACAGAGTGAAACCGGTACCAGAGAAGAGCACAATAAAAAACTTTTTTGCAAGCAGTTAATTGTAGGCTCATTGTGGTACCTACTCTTGAGCCGGCCATAAATGGTTTGAGTCTCGGCCAGTTCAGCAGGAACTGGTCGAGATTCTAACAATCTATGGACCCAAACTGACCCACTGCAGGTTTCATGTGGCCCCCACATAAGAAATCAGACGTAGAAGAATCTCAGTGCTAAGGGACATTTCGTACCTAAGTCATACAACATATCCAAATTGATTGTTGTATGACTTTGGTACAACCAGCATGTTGGATTTTTACATGCGATTATTGCCAGTGGCTATAGCCACTAGCAATAATCACTGTGTTCTCCTGTCAAGGATGGCTATCCTCCACCCCCCCCATCCTCGGGAGAACACAATAGCTCCTTGGGAGGCATTGCCCCATCAACACTGACTGTGTTGAAGGAAAAATCGAGCAATTTTCTTTCCTGCAACCAAAAAAAAAATTGCATTGTCTATAGCCTGTTATGGAAAGAATGTTATTTGTATTTTACCTGGGGGTATTCTTTAATATTTTTAATGGCACTGTTCTCTTAGACTTATCAGTTTTTCAAAGCTAACAGAGTAAAATGGTTGATGTTTTGTATGTTTCTAAAAGTTATATAGATTTTACATATTTATAGAATGTTTTTATAAAAATGATATTCTTAAAGACCAGCATGACTGTTACACTGCTGTCTCTATTAGATTCTTTTGCACTATTTTGCTCAGTATGACCTTGTTGGATATCAGTAGAGAATGTTAGAAAATATGTATGCTAGGCAAAAATACTAAACCGAGGAACTCTTTAAATGTATAACTTGTATGTGGATTGGTTTGTTGTCAGTTACAGTAAGTTATCTCTGTATATAATGTAGATTAAACTCTGGCTTATATCACATTCTCTGTGTTCATATTTTACACCATACAGTGTGCATATTGGTAGTGATTAACAAAAAATGTACAAATGCATTAAATGATTCATAAAACAAGATGATATAAATATTTTCATTTTACAGTGAGGGGATAGTATTCTTCATTTGTTTTAAATAAATTTGCATTCCATTTTACTATAGTGGTATACAAGGGACGTATGAAGTTCTACATGTAATAGAAATGACCAGTGGCAAATTCAGAATTAGAAGTACACTACATGAAAACCAAACCCTGAGATGCGCACAAGAACTGCAGCCTCCTTCAGTTTTCTATCTAGGCCTTGTTGTAGGGCACCAGTCCACTACACTCTGTTCTAACAGTATTCTGAAAATCTGGGAACCCCAGCTTGCAATGCTGAATTGCTATTCCTAAACTTACCCACTGCAGGTTTCATGCGGCCTCCACACAAGAAATCAGACGTAGAAGAATCTCGGTGCTAAGGGACATTTTGCACACAGTAAGGTGAATGGCAGTTTTTCTGCACTGGAAGAACACCAGTCACCACTGGGGCACACAGAAAACAATTGTTTTCTATGTGTCCTATTCCCACTGCAATACAGCCCAGAGCTGCATTGCAGAGATCAGTGATCAAATGTGAACATGCTGCCTACCTTGGTGATAAAGGAAGGCTTTGCAAAGCTTCACAGAACAGGCTTCAGTAGTACACTCCTACTGACCTTGTAAGGTGCTCTCTGGATTCATGCTGGAATGGAATAAAGAGAACTCCGATGACTTTAGCAGTTGCTATGTTTTGATTGTTAGCTCATCGATTTGCTTTGACTTGTTTCCTGGAATTAAGTGCTAAGAAAATATGGGACTGCTTCCTTTGAAGATGCTTTCCTGGCTGTTATGCTGATCCATTTCCTTTCCTAGTTTGAGCCAAGGACCTGGAACAAGCATGCAGATAGCAGGTAGTGCTTTACGTGGACGTCGCTTATTCCATACTAATTTCTGAGTCAGTGACTTAGAAAACAGATACAGCCAGACAGCAAGATTTTTTTTTTTTCTATAATAGCAGTTCTGGCTTCTTTTTTAGGCAAGAAAATAGCACTTGGACATGCATCAGCTTACCAATTAGGCCAGATTAGTGGTTGTAAAGGCTCAAGGTTTGTTACCTTCATGCATTCTATGCTTGAAGGTAAATGCACAAGAGCAGCGGCTCTCCAGGTTCTCTTCCTCATTATTGACTCACAGACAATGAGGAGAGAGCAGGGGGTGGAGCCGAGCTGCACATGTGTGTGTGAATGGACACAGAGCAGCAGTTCGGGAGTGAGGGACAGGCCAGGAGTGTTGTCAGGGGACCCAAGAAGAGGAGGATCATGGATGCTCTGTGCTAAACCAGGTAAGTATATGTTTGTAAAAAAAGAAAAAAACAATCTGAGTTTAATATCACTTTTAACTTTAGGTGCATCATTTATGATACCAAAGCAAAGAAAGGGCAGCACACCTTAAAGAGTAACTCTACTTTTGCTAAGAAAAAACAATCTTCTCTGAGTGAATAATGTGCACTGCAGGGAGTTTAGAAAACATTGTAGAGCCCTACTTTTTCTCCTGTGAAGAAATCGCTGTTTGTTTACAATATCCTTTGGAGACTGTATCTGAATGGGAGAGTCTGGTTCATTATAATCAGCTGTTACATTTTCAGTGTTCATAGAGAGAATTTACCCTTGTAGAGTATCCTACCACCAAAGCTAACATTTCTAATGCAGAGGATGCTTACAATTTGACGTGTAACTTAGTGCAGACCTCTGTGAAAATCAATGAGCCAGTCACACAAGCAGGAATTTACATTTCTGAGGGTGTTCTGTATACCTCCAGGTTGCCATATTGCATTGACTTTTACAGAAAATGATAGGCTGAAAAGAAAATGTAATTTTAAAGTGATACAAAACACACACAGATTCATTTATATTGTCCTTTCTCTCTGTATATGGATGATGGCACTGTAATTGTTTTAATAAAAAAAACCCCACCACCTACTGTAAGTACCTTTTTCCTAATCGATATACAGCTGTCACATGACCAGGGGCAGACTGACCATTTGGAAACTCGGGCACTGCCCGAGGGCCCGGGGTCAGTAGGGGGCCCCATGCGATGCCACTAGTACCTTTTTCATAGGATGTTTTGAGTTTGGGCAAGGACACAGGGGCCCCATGATCCCCTATTGCCCAGGGGCCCCATGAGTTGTCAGTCCGCCCCTGCACATGACCCAGTTCTTTCTCAGCCTGACTGCAGGGAAACAGTGGCAGGAGGAACTTCTAATCATCTGCTGCTAGTCATATGTTCTAAATAAAAAAAACAGCCTTTGGGATACAGAGTAAACATACATAATTAATATAAATAAACTGTTTTAAATCGTCATACAAATATATATTTGAAATCAAATCTTTATTTTTTTTTTTTGGCAATAACATGGTGTGGGTGGATTTTTGCCAGTCACAAGCTGTGCCATTCCCCTCCAACCTGTGTCTTAGAATAACAGGGAAGTGAAGCCTCCATCAATCAAGATGTAATATCTCACCACCACTGTGTTTAGCTTGCTAGTGGGCATGAGGGAGGAAGTGGGCTATCATTTATTACTGTGTATACGCCCGATGTGTGACTCTTTAGTCACATGGGCTGCTCAGATGTGAGGAGATGCTCAGCATAGAAATTGAAAACTGAGCATGTGCAGTAGCTGCCAACAATGCTGTGCAAAATCCATAACTGCACTGGGGACATGGACAGAATGGGGAAACAGAGAACAGCAGTATCAAGCATTTTAATTTTTTTTGCAGAATACAAAAAACGAATCCTCATGGTGAATGAATGACTATGAACAGCATGTAAAACAGCATTTATTGATAGTTTTTATGACGTGGGTTTAACGACCGTTTAATAACATTCAGTTTCAATATGACTTGTGTAGCAATTGTATATGCCAAGGTATTTATTTTTATTTGCTATTATTATTATACAGGATTTATATTGTGCCAACAATTTGCTCAGCGCTTTACAATATAACAGGGAGACAATACAGCAACAAAACAGTTCAATACAAGAGGGTTAGGAGGGCCCTGCTCCTTGGAGCTTACAATCTAAGATGTTATATTTTTTTCAAGAAAGTGAAGTTACCCTCTAAATCATATCCAAGCCTTCATTTAGCTTAGAGGAGCATATTGTACAAGTGAACAATAAATGTTTCAAAGACATGCAGGTCCCCTTTTTCAGCTAAATCTTATTCGTTCTATAAAATGCTCACTGTACTTTGCTTCTGCTGTGGCTTTTTGGAGGGTTGGATCCTGGGACATATTTAAGTCTTTAGAGCTTGCTTCCAATCTATGTGCGGCCATCCTTGGCACAACCCAACAGTCTGGTAACTGAGACAAGTGCTGAGATGAAGAATAAAAAACAGATACTACAGTAAGTTATATAGTTGCTCTTTCAGCACTCCGTAGAATTACTTGGCTGTAGGACAAGAAAGTGCAGTGCACTGACCAAAGCTGGCAGGATGTGCTGAAGAGAACATTTCCCAGAATTTGGGTCTGTGAGCCTCACTCGCTACTTTCATTGGCTCCCAGAACGATTTCAAGCGAAAGTACATAAAATGAACAAAGTGCATTTTGCTGACCACATTTTATTTAAATGGTTTCTAATGTGAATCTGTTGGGATGGAAATATAGGTTCTATTGTTGACTTCTGTTAAAGGTGAAAACTTTAAGCTTTGATCTTCATTCTTGCTTTACTGTTTATTAACCATTAGCCGCCCGGCCAATGGCCGTTTGGCGGCTTCAGATGTGCCTCTTCATTCCGGGTGCACGCCATTTGGCGTGCTCCCGCAGATGCGCCGTTTGCGGTAATGCAGCGTGGCGCAGCAGCGGGATCTGTCACGGGCCGTGCACCTCGGACACGGCCGATGACAGATCCGAGTACCGGCTCCCGTTGCTGGTACCATGTGACCTGCTGTGACCAATCACAGCAGGTCACATGACAGTTGTATACAATGGATGGCTTCATTCATGATGCCATCCATTGTATACTAGTGCCTAGCTGTGAATGGTCACAGCTAATCACATGCACATGTCATGTGATTAGCTGTGACCAAATCTCAGCTAAGCACAAAAAAAAAAAAAAAAAAAAAAGCTGAATGAATCGATTTCATTCAGGTAAATGCTTGCTTATAGCAAAGTAATTCTTTGCTATAAGCAAATTGTGTAAAAAAAAAAAAAAAAAAAAAAATACTGATCACTTCCCCAAAGTAGTACAATGTTACTATGGTAACATTGTACTACTTTGGTCATAGTAAAATATGAAAAAAAAAAAAAAAAATGTAATAAAAAATTAAATATAATAATAATAAAAAAAAAAAAAAAAAAAAATATATATATATATATATATATATATATTTTTTTTTTTTTTTTTTTTCATACTGTCACCAGTCAGTGTCCCTG